TGATGTCTTACGATGCAATTGTAAATACTCGAGTGTTATTAGAAGATATTTTAGTGTGTTAATATTGCAGATTCTAGCTCCGACTACTATGGCTAATGAATAACTGAGAATTTTAGGTACCTATAGTATATGTAATTATTTTATATGTACGATGTCATATGGACATTAAGCTTTATCAGTGACGGTAAAAACGTTATTGTTACTGAGACAAAAAATTTTTATTTACACTACATAATATATATCACATATTTTATTTGCTCAATACCACAGGGCTCTCCACAAAATATTAATAATTTCATGGAAATTTCAGAATATAGAATCTAGTTCTTGTTCTAGTATTTAAAGCCTTTAAGGTATAATGATTATACATTTAAATTAAATTAGACAACTCAATTCATTGTTATTATCTAAATAAATAAAACAGTCAAATTATAAATTTTAAAAAAAAAACCGAACAATTTTCAGCCAACAAATATTGGAACTAGTTCTGGTTAAGGTTCTAGTAAGATTCTAGCTCCAATATTTTGAAAAGGTTCTAGTTCAAATATCAATTAAGTTAGTTTAATTTATTTCTAATTTCAGTTCTAAGCCAGCCCTGGACTACAATTTAAGCCGGAATAGTCGAATTGCACTTATTACCTATCAAAAAATGGTCGAATTGCACTTGGGTTGAAAAAAAGTAATGGTCGAACTGCATTCGGGTAAAAACAGGTAGTGGTCGGACTACACTCATCAAAAAACGAGTTAAAATTTAAAGCGGGTTTACACCATAAATATTCACGTGTACATGCAAACTTGTTACGAGTCGAGTATATATATAGTGGAAATCTGCCTTTATAAAAGTTAAAAATATTACGAATCTTCTTACTTCAAAAAATGATTGTAATGAAAAAAAAAATATATAATTAAGACAATAATTGTGTTTGACGATTTAAAAAAAAAAAATCTATATTATTATATTAACATAATGGTATATTGGTATGTATTAAGCAATCATTTTTAACCACGCCTATGATAAAAATTATTGTCAGTCTTAAGCCTGCAAGTGGGAAGGGAAATGAGTGTTTTATAAACGTTTAATTATTTCAAATGCATGGTTTTTTTGTTAAAATACTTTTTTAAGCTCAAGTGCAGTTCGACCATTACAAAATGTATTCTAATTACTTTTTCAATCGTTCATTCGAAGTATGTTACAAGACTGAATTCAAACTTAACATTTAATATAACAAACAACATAATTTTGAATCAAATTTTTTAGATTTTGATGGATAGTATCATTCAATAATACCTAATGTTATGTATAGAGTTTTAATAATAATTAATGAACATAATAAAAATACTTCTCAGCTTATGAAAAAATGTTGAACATTTACAAAAATTAATTAATTTTGTAATTTGGGATTCAATTGTTTAACTTAATTTAAAAAAATAGATACTTAACTTTAGAGTTTTTAATAATTTTCATATATTTTAAAATATCAACAGAAATAGACAAACATGCATACCAAAAAATAATATATTATGGACTTAAATTTATGTTAACTGCATACTACCTTTTTAGATATTAAAAATAAATGAATTAACTTAGAACATTAATTAAAACTTAAGCATGGTTTTATTTCAAATATTGTACAATTTTTGTTCTAACACTAATGGTCTAAAAAATGTTGCTCCAAGTATAATATTTCTGTGATAATAATTAAAAAGATTTTAAGAGTCTGGCGAACGAAAGATCGCTTATTTTAAAGTTGCAGAATAATTTTTGAAGATAGCTAATGAAAGTATAAAAAAAATTTGTAAATATTATTTATTAACAGCAAACAGATTAATAATTAAATAGAAGGTACTTAATCTAAAATGCAAGTTTTTGCGGTATAAGCTAGATGTAATAGGTAAAAATGGACATATTTTGTTATTGTTGAGAAATAAAAACTCATATAATTAAATCAATTTAAAAAATTAAATTTTTTTTTTTTAATTTGAGATATTTAATATCAAATGTTATTTGTAAATTACAACTATTCACAATTGGATTTTTCTATTTTTTCCATAAACAGAGATACAGATTGTTAAACATAAAAAATTAAAAAATAATTTTAAAATATTAATACTAATAAACAGTATAAAGTTATATTTATTACTTTGTTAGAATTAAGTATTAAATTATTTTTATCTAATTAGTTCTCACAATTTATTTAAAAAATTCTATATTTATTTCAATCAAAAACAATGAAACACTAAGACAGTTTAAATGATATTTAATTTATAGACAATTTATTTTTCTGAAGTATTGTTGTAGTGGGGTTTCATTATTGAGCGATTGACCCACTTAATTTTTATTTATTGTATTAAGTATAAATAATAATTATTATTAAAACCTTGTAATTATTCTATTAATAGTTATAAATTATAATGATCTATTATACTATTATAAATTATAATTTATAGTATGCAAAATTTAAATTGGTCGTTTTAAAAATATGAGTAGTATGGATTAATAATTCGGTATTCATTAAACACTAAAATAATATTAAATTATTGTGTAAACAGCTGTTTAAAGTATTTACTAATTATTTATATTTAACGAATAAAGTTATGATTAATACTTACGTAGTTAATTTATAAATATAGTAAAACTAAAAAAAAAAAAATAATCGCTGTAACCCTAAAAAAATTGTTTAAACATATTATTAAAAAATAAATTAATATTAGTATTTGTTTATACACACCATAATAGTATTTTCAATTAATCCAAAAAGTTTTTTTTAGTATTATAGTTTGTAAATTATAGGTTGTAAGTGATAAATTTTGGTTGAAATAGTTTTCAGCTTACATTTCAGCTTTAAATTTTATTTTTTTAGAGTTAAGAAAAATATTAATTTGGTCAAATATAATTTTAAAGTTAAATTTTTGTTCTTGTAAAATTTAAATTAATTATAAATGGAAAATTACATTTTTTTGTCCAAAGATGTAAAATATATTATACATATTTTGCTTTAAATGATAAAATAACACTAAAAAGTAATTAATATAAAAGAGACTTTCAACGCATATTTGAAGGATGTTATATTTTCTTCTTATATGCCTATAAAATATAGGCATATATAGCATACACTTTACCTACTTGTATAATATACATCATATGAACAATAAGCAATATTCACTATACATATTAGTATATTAAGCGGATATAAACTTATCATGTATTAACAACATATGTATTTAATGCACGATGAATAATAAATGATTACTATGTATATAAGTATATTCAATATTGCATAATTTATTGTGTATGTATTAGATTAGATTATTATACGGTATGTCTTGTATGCTTATACAGATATACTTACAATAATTTCATTAATTTTTATAAACAATGCAACATTTTATCGAAAATGTAATGCCTTTTTAAAAATAATGCTTAAATAATATTAATATATTTTTATTAGGCACTTTACTACGGTGAGAAATATTAATGATTAATTTAACGATATTTTTCTACATGCTGTAAATTACGGGTTTTTCATCCAAAACATGTAAATCTATAGTTATATTTTATCATATTCCTCAATGTCATTAACTCCAAGATTTTCAAGATAAATTTCGTGATGAAAAATAAATTAAGTGCGTACAATTCTACTTAACGAATGAAACGTAATTTAAAATGGTATTTAATATACCTATACTTATTTTTAATTTTTATTGGATATTAAAATTGATTTCAATTTTCATGTAAGTCTAAAATCTAAATGGAACAAAACAATTTTTTTAAATAATTCTACAATTTCTTTTATTCATCTAATATATCATTTCATAATAACAATTTAAAACATATTGTATTATTTAACTTATTTATTATTAAATTCGTGCCTATGTGATGCGAAATCATACTAAAAAATAATAATAAAATTACTTTGATGGCCATCTCAACGCTCTATCGAACAATTTTACATTAAATAATACTTATAAAATTCAACAGGCGTAATCATCTGCATCCTTTATTCACAAAAACAATCCTCAAAGTTGAAACAATCCAAATTTGTTTTCAATTTATAAGGTACAAACAAAGGTGAATATCCTCACAGTTAGATCTAATGTGATTTACATTTTTAACAATATGATGCATAGTGGTCAATGGATACTAAGATACGTGTGTTATTGTGATATATAATTGTTGGATTTATTAGAATCATTATCTGTTTAACTTTTAAACGTCCATCATATTCTTATTCAAAATATTAATTCGAAAGCAATAAATATTAAAAAGTAAATAACTTTTTTAATAGTACTTGTAGGGTAATCTTTTGAAGCGAACAATAAATGCCAATTAAATCATTTTTTAAAACACACGTATTTAATAGTAAATAAATATAAATTGTTTAGTATACACGAAAAACAAAATCTCTTTCGACGCGTTGCGTCAAATCCCCCGACGTGGGCCTTTAACGAGAAATTTAAAATCAAATTATAAACTATTTTCGATTTCTTAATATATTTCCGTATACATTATTATGTTATTAAAATTAAATGCGGCCAGCGGGGACGGCCTCAAAGGAGTTTTATTGTAAAACGAATGCCACCTGGCCACGCGTCCGTCTGACGTCACCATTATACACACAGTATTATGGTACGCGATAAATAAAAATAAAACACTATCGTGGAAACGGTGGCACGCCGCGAAATCGCGAGTTTCGCGGTAACTCATTTTCGACGTTTTTATCCAGTCGGAGCGGCGCACACTGCGCATGAGCCGCCGCCGGCTCGTTACCGCTGCGAGGGTGACGGAGACGGATCGGCGGCGCGAGGGGTAGAGTTCCCCTGTGTGGCGGCTGCGATTATATATGACGGGGTGGCTGTGCGGTGGCGGTGTGGAGGCCCTTATAGATTTTGCCCTGGACGAGTGGCGCCCGCGCGTTATCCGCCGTCGTCCCTGCGCGCGCGAAACTTTCTTCCCGCCGCCGCCGCTGCCATCGTCGTCGTTGTCGTCGTCGTCGTCGTACACCGCCGTTGCTGCCGCACACGCACACGCACAGCGAACCGAGCGCACCACGGTCACGGCGACGACGTTCACGGGGACGAACGCGCGTCGGTTGCAGCACCAGCTACGGTGGACAGCATCAGCACCGTTGACGGCCGCGCCGACCGGCAGTGACATTTGCGCGACTCTTCGTACGGCCATGGATTTCCGGGCGAACGCTCATCTCGGACCCGGTTCGACTTTTGCGCCGTACGATGATGATAGTAATAAAAATAATGTTATTAATAGTACGTTTGTGCGGCACCGTCCGACGAATTGTGTGCGGACTGCTCGGACGAGATGAGAAATATGAAAAAAAACGGACGATCCGGAGAGTTTTTCGAGGTATTTATTTTAGAGTTCAGAGACACGATGGTGTGCAAACAGGCGTTTAACGTAGTATAATACAATATTAATATAGTGGTATTGTGCCGACGAAATCGATGTCATTCGAATTCTGAATCCAATAAGTCTCGGTAACACGCTATTACCAAGTTCGGGAACCTCACAATGCGTGCGATTATGCTGTACTCGTACCGAAATTTTATGATTTTATTTAGGGCACGTATTTTTTGTTCAAATTCGTAACTTACGGTTGAATGTAGATACCTAGATACCTTTTTGAATCTGATTAAACGCGAGCGCGTTTCATAACACTCCGGATAAAACAAAACCTGCTTAATTAAATCTTACTCGTTGTCACATAATATTTTTTGAAGTGAATGGATAATATTCTTAAATACTTTACATACATAATCACAGGTGTATTGAAAATAAACAGCGTTCTGTGGACAATCGTTAAAATCGTATAATTGTTTTTGAAATCGTCATGTACGATATATAAGTAGGCACTCTTCTAGGTAATTTATCTAGCCATTTTCGTTAGTTAATTTGTTTTTCTAATCGGTATCTACTTTTTTGTTTGTATATGTAATTATTAGTTATAATTTTAAAACTAATATTAAATAAAATTTTTTTTTTATTAAATATGCCATTTTTTAAAACATGTTTTGGCAAAAATAACGACATAAATATTTACACATTACAACTTTTTTATTACATAAAAATCCGCGTCCTAATTATTATTATCAAGATATTATAATCATTGCACGCAAACTTTTAACTATATAGGTACAATGTAAATAGTTATACGACGTTAAGACATAATATCATTATAAATTATATTGTACTGGTACCTACTTCAAACACGATAACCCTTAAATTTCATAAATGATTAATACTTATTAATTTCTCACCAGTCACCACTATATAATAACGATACTCTTATATTTTTTATGAGAAATAGCATTATTATTTGTTATTATTTCGGATCACCCTAATCGTGATAGTAAAGACTTTAAGCATGCACTTTTGAGAGCAACTTTCCATTATTAGACCATTATTATTTTTATTTGTTAGAGTTTGTTGGTAAATTTAGATCATTTTTACAGATTTCTATTAATATTTAAATTTAGTAGCATAAATGTATAATAATATATCTTAATCTGTTTGAATTTAAATATACGCAATGAATGCGAGAAGATCAATCAAACAGTGTTCTACCCTTATATCATTTAGGTATGACTAGTAGTATAGAAATAAAATCGGGAGAATTTTTATTGTATAATTTTTATAAATTAATAAGGATTTATTGCTTACTAATAGTTATTTAAAAGTTTTTTTTTTTACGAGTAGATATATTTTTGGTTATTTATTGGACAATTTATAACCTGTAAGTTTTATTTCATGATAATTATGTTTGATATTTTAATTGATGATATAAGTGCCTTGATTAAAAGAAATTACCCAGGAGTAACGCTTTTAAATTTAAAAAAAGTAATAAACTTATTATGAAAATTGAAAATTTTCGAAAATACCGGTAAAAATAAAAATAAATGATAAGTTCGAATTTATTTCATAGGCTCTTTTTTAATCATATTACTTCGATGGTAAATAATGAATTAGTTTAAATAATTGCAACTATTCTCTGCACATCATAATGATTCTTATTGACTCAAATTTATAAATATAGATTATCGTAACAATACAAATAGAGTTATCGAATTTCATAACTAAAATATGAGATATAAATAAAAGATTCAAAAAAATGAAGTTCATGGTTAATTAATTCTGTATAATACATGTATGTAGGTATTGTAGGTATACAGGATAGAATCACCAAGTACGCTTACTTCCTTTTATTCTTTAGTAATTCATTCGTTTAAATTCTAATTTTTGTAATTTATAAGTAAGTACTTATATTTTAAACATATTTATAAATAATTACTATTCATCTCAAATTAGCAGTTGTCTTTATAAGGTACAAACATTTTTTTTTCAAATAAAAAATCACATCTTTTACTGTAAATTGTTACACGGATAATTTTTTTTTTAATATGTTGATATATTGTTTTTATCATATTAATATAACTATAGCTTGAAATTTAAACTTAAGGTTGCAGAATAATTGTTAAGCTGTGTTCTAAGAATAAAAGTATATATCTACTTAATTGAATTTCATATATAGGGTTTATGATTATTTGAAAATAATAGTAAATAGTAGGTAATTAATATCAATTTATTAATATTTTATGTTTATAAGCATTGTTGAACCTAGGCAAAAATTTATTTTAAAATTATTTAAAAGAAATTGCTACACACATTTATACATACAGACATAATTATAATTTAATTTAATTCATACCTATACTATTAACAAAATTTTCTGGAAGAATAACATAAACTTTATGACATTGGATATTCACCAGTCAACATATCTTTAGTAAACTATCATAATGTATTGATGATTTACTTTCCATCAATTTTTGATATTTTTATGTAATTTAAAAACAAAGAACAAAAATATTTGAATTTTCACGAAATTTCAACATTAATATTTTTTATACGTACATGATAAATTTTCAAAATATTTTAATTCTATACTTAAGCTATTTATAAACATTTGATATTTTCAATTTTTTTTTTTATTAGTTTTAATGAAAAAAATTTCTTAGTTGAATACCAACTAAATTCATCATAAATTGCTTATAAATTATAATTCATATTGTAACTAATAAATCCAAAAATATATTTAAATACAGTTTTTTTTATAGATATTTTAAGTTAAAATTTTAATGAAATTAAATATTTAAACGAAGAATAATGATTTTAGACATTTTTTTTGTAATTTAAAAATATTATTTGTGGATACTTAAAATTTTTTACGGATATATTATATTATATATACCTGATTATAAAATTGTCTTTTTGACAAAAATTTACTCAACCTACTATATTACTAATATTGAAATAAATTTACTTTAATAGCATTATAAATATTAAAAACTAGCTTCACTCAGAATCATTTTTCGTATGCAATGATAAATCACTGAATACAAAACACTTCTATTATAATGACTTACACAACACAAATATAACAAAGTACACTCGATTCCTTCTATACAGCAAGGCGGTATAGTATCTACTTTCTCCCTTTTTAATTTTATATTAAATATATTAATTAGTTAATCATTTATTTTTTATTATCTACATTATTAGCAATAGCTTATCAGTTTTCACTGTTTTTATTAAAAATGTAATGTAATTCATGTCATACTTCAAACATTTTTGTTTTTATTAATTGATACAAACTTTTTAATGTTATTTTTTTAAATTTTTTCATACTTTTACATACTTTCTATTTTCTACTGTAGTATTTATATTTAAATACATTTATAATAGATAATTATTTTTCTGTAAATTTTAAGACTATTGATAAATTTTTAGTAAAACGGATATTTTTTGAGAATTATCACAAGTTGTCATAAATAAATATATTGTTTTAATTCTATATTTACATTTATTTTTCATTCTAGATAAGTCAATAAAATTCATAATCCATAACTAATAACCTTCAAACGTTTGATAAAAAATATCAAACCACTCCCTATTTTTATAGTTATGTGTATGACTGTATAAGTATATTGTATGTTGCAATATGAATTTTTCAGTAGTAATAATCTTTCTTAATTTTTCAGTAATACAGTTTTAAGCAACTTGTTGTTTTTTTGAGTTTATTTAAAATATTTATCTATACAATTATAAATGTTATCTTTTAACGTAATTTTAAACAAGAATATAACATTATACATTTTAATTATAAATATATTTGTTTTTTGTATATATGGATGAGTTGTGTATAGTTATGTAAAACAAGTTATTATAGTCTTTAGGTAAGAATGATATTTTTCGAACACTATTCGTATGCTGAATTGGCGTTATGCCATAGAATATTTTTAAAAAAAATAACCAGCAACAATGGATAATAAACGAGAATTGTCATACCTACTGACATAAATTCAGAAAAAAAAATTTTTTCAGTGAAATTTATTAACTATTTTATTTAACAAGTGCCTTCTCATTAAGTCATTATGGTGTATTGTATGTTTCCACTTAATATTTATATACGTGGGATTCATTACTTCATAAGTCCATCCACTACTTATTTTTAAATTAATTTAGCGTAATTACTGATATTAATAATTTATATCACTCAGTCGAACACTGAATAGTTAAAATAATTCATTGCGTGTTTTTGTAGTATAAAGGATAAAAAATGTTAGTAAATAGTTTTATTGGCATTATATAAAATAGTATTAAAACTAAAAAATATGTATCATCGTTTTTTTATTTGAATATAGGATAATATTATTCATGCATATATATATAACATAATATAAAATGCAATGTTTCAGAAAAGTGTCGATTATTTAAGATTATAATAGAAAATATGACGGGTCGGCAGATACGTCGTTTGCTATACGGACTGCTGATTTTAGCGTTATTTGTCATTGTTATACACAATGGCCGTACTGCTTATTGGCTAGTCAAAGATGAACATTACTTAAAACAGTCGCCCTTTCCCACCGAAGACCAGCAAGATTACAACGAACAACAGGTAGTTTAGACAATTTTCTACAATTTCTACAATTGTAAAAACAATGACATTACTATATATGACTGTAAGCTTGCGATCTGCATCCATAGGAATAGTTCACTAATATAGTTATCAAAGCAATTGAAATGTTTAAGTATATGAATAAACCTGTTTTTAGTCAATTATAACTTTTTTTTGTACCAAAAATGAACTGCCTTTTGTAGCTTATTTTATTTCACTAAACATCTTTAGAAAAATTTAAGTTGACCAATAATTTGTTAAAAAAATATGCTAATATAATTTATAAATTATCCAACAATTAATCGTAAAAATAGTATTGTAATTATTATAAAATATTTTAACATGTATGAAAAGACTTATGATAAATATACACTGTATACATATTTATATATATGTGTATATTATATACATGTATGTGTAATAAATTACAAAAATATGATTTTAGAACAGCTATTATAGTACTTCAGTAGTAAAATAATACTGTATAGTCGTTTAAAGATTATAATATGACAAGTGTAAAAAAAAAAGTAATTTTTATAGTATGGATTATAAAAGTTGAATATTAAATAATAATAAATTAATACATATCTTATAACTGTGTTATTTACATAAAAAAAAAAAAACAGATATCAACTAAGGCGAGTCAACATGGCGTTATTATAAGATATATAAAAACTAACAATTAAGTTTTTATGTGTTAGAATAAAGTATATTTATAAACACTAAGCATATGATTCCCTCCCTGGCTAAATATATATTTTTAATTTTATATAAAGTTACCAAAATATAAACGGGGTTTTTAAGAGTTGACAAATAAATTCATATAAATGTACATATAAAAAAATAAAAGGGTTTACATCTCTTAGGAAAATGTTATCAAATAGTACCAATAAATTATTTTTATTTGGGCTAAATTAAATCCGTGACTTGTGAGTATTATTGATGTAGATTAATTCAAAACGACTTAAACTTACAGAACTTACAATACTTGGAATCACCAATTCAATCTTTGACATACAGTTCTTCAATGATGGAATCGAACGAAATTTCAAAATTACAATTACCGTGGTATTTTAAAGGTAAATCTTTAATTTCCTAGTGAATATAAAAACTAAAAGAGATTGTAGCATCACATATTTTATATAATTCCGGAAATTATCATAATGATTAATGCAAATTTGATAAACCACGCTAATATCAATCAAATGATTGTAAATTTTTAACCAATTAACATAATATGTTTAATCTTGATTTTATCAGATGGTTCGCTGAGGCCAAACAGAGCTAAAAAAAATACTATAACTGGACAAAGAACTACACAGGTGTGGCCTAAGGAACAAAAAACTGGTGATCGCATTGAAAACCAACTAATGTTTATACCACCTAATTATCGATACGACGATGAACCAATGAAGACAATTTTACTTTTCAATGGTTTAAGTAATTGGATGGTAGAGGATGGGCAGAATATATTTATTTCAAAACAATGTCCAGTAAATAGATGTACTATTACTTCAAAAAAATCAGAAGCTTCAAATGTGGACGCAATTTTATTTCGTGATCATTTTTCACATCCCGGTCACAGAAAAACTGGCAAACAAGTAAGATCGACAATTCATTATACTTTAAAACCATATACAATTAAAATTAATTGTGTATATATAAGACATGTTAACGATCAATGGTAGTAATTAGTAATTATACCTACATAAACATAATATAATAATAACATTTATAATACGTTTTGAATTTTTTCTATAGGTATACTATATTATATTAAAAACAATAAAGTTATCATTTATGTATATATAATATTTGTATAAATGATACAACATTTTTAACATTGCAGGTATGGATTTTATATTTTCTCGAATCACCGTACCATACAGAACTAATTACTTACAACGATGTGTTCAACTGGACAGCAACGTATAGACACGATAGTGACATCGTCACGCCATACGAACGATGGGCGTACTACGATCCGTCCGTGACACAAGTTGAACGATTAGATCGGAATTACGCGTTTAATAAAACAAAACAAGTGGCATGGTTTGTATCAAACTGTGGTGCCAAAAACGGCAGATTACAATACGCAAGAGAATTGGCCAAATATATATCAGTAGATGTGTATGGCGTATGTGGACAATTCAAGTGCCCTAGATCGGATAAGTGTTTTCAAATGTTGGAACATGATTACAAATTTTATTTGGCTTTTGAGAATTCAAACTGTTTCGATTATGTGACCGAAAAGTTTTTCGTTAACGGCCTCCAGTAAGTAAATAACTGAATAGTTTAGGATTTACGTATTTAGGTTTAATGATTCTAATAATTATAATTTCTTATATCGTTCAAATGAACCGAATAATGCGTAAAGAATTAAAGTATAATTTGTGAAAAAAATAAATTTTTGTAAAAAGTAAACAGTGTGAGAAACTTTTGTTTTGAACCGAACAATAACTATAGTAGTTTTGTTACCCGCCTTTTATTACTTTATACGGTAACTTTGAACGATTATATTATAATTTATAACTAACCAGTGGCGCATACAATGGAGCGTAGAGTTGAAATGTGGTCTGTTAGATACCACCCGAATATTTATTTTTAATACTATATATTTTATGCTTAGCGAAAATATACGCATTTAATAAAATATAACTTACTATACTCATCTATCTGATCTCACTTAAGTCGAGTTAATTCGGATCCACAAGATAACAGTAAAATGCTATGTGCCTAGTGATTGATGAAAAAGTAATAGACAAAATTAATAAAAGAGAAAAGATTATTGAATATTAAGTTTAACTAATTAATTATTTTAGTAATCAACTACAAAATTAAGTGTATTAATTGTAGACATATATTTTATTATAATACGTTATAGATGATTTGTATAGGTAATTTTAAGCGCGTTTAATTTTATAAATGTAAACGTAAACAATTATTATTCATTTTTTTTTTAAATTTTATAAATACCTCAAACTTTCTTTAAACATACTCTATTTTTTTTTTTTTTTTTTACATAAACTAGGTTTTTTAAACGGGTCTACTCCTGCCCTTGTAACTCGACAAAACAAGAGTTATGCATACTCTATTATTATCGCTGATACTATAGAATTAGATATAGATAAGACGATTTATTATACAAAGAAATATTATGTGAGTATGATTTGAAAATAATGAAATGGTTTGATACAGGCACAACGTTTTGCCGATCGTAATGGGCGGGCGCCGAGAGGACTACGAGCGGTTAGCGCCTAGACGGTCGTACGTGCACGTGGACGATTACGAGTCACCCAAGCGATTGGCCGAGTACCTGCGGCGATTGGACGCCGACGACGACCTGTACAACGAGTACTTCCGGTGGAAGGGCACCGGCGAGTTTATCGACACAAAGTTCTTCTGTCGGCTGTGCACTATGCTGCACGACGACGGCGCACCTGCCAAACACTACCGGAACATCAACGACTGGTGGCGCGGCCCGGGCGTCTGCAACAATGCTATGCCGTGGCGGCGGTTCATCGAGTCGACGGTCCAGACCGGCGGAGTGCGCGACCCGCGGTCGGCGGTCAACCGCGATTAGCGTTTACCACGAGCGGCGGCCGTAGCGTTCAACTACATCACGGGACGTCGGCGACGTCAGCGTGGCCGCCGCATCGTTGGCGGGCCACCGTCGCCGCCGCCACCACCGGACGCCGACTTTTGGCGATCCGGCGGCGCCGCTCGGAAGATACCACAGCCGTCACGTCCGAACGTCCGGAAACAGCCGTCGGCACCGATGACGCCACCGCCGCCACACGCGCGCATGTCGAGCGCTGCACGAAGACGGCGGAGAGGCCGTCGGAAGAACTTCCGCGACGAGCGTCAGCCTGCACGTCGTCGTGCATAGACGACTTGTCGTTCCAGCTCCACTGTACACACACGCGACGTCCGACTTCCAGTGTCGTGTCTATTTGTAATTATTCGTTGTAAAATATTTTGTAATCGCCGAAACCCGATATTGTCTCCACTGCCAACCCTATACAATAATAATGTTCAAACTCCACAAGTCGAGTGGTCTCCGCGTGTACAGCTGTCGACTAATAATAAATAAATTAACTACAAACGGTTGCGTGAGTCGATCCGACTTGATTCGATTCGTAGCTATCAACCGCGTCTCGATTAATCGACTACCCACTCACCCATCTAGTCATATGACACAATATCGTAGAAAACGGTGAATTTTATTTATTTTTTTTTTGTACATTTAATATTATTAATTCCCCCGCGGTATACGACCATGTTGCTATCAATATACACAGATTTTTTCCCGATTTACTGCACCTCCATTGGTACACAAATATCACATTCACAATAATTGAAATGTTCAAAAAATAATTAACAAATATAATATTATTCCATAATTGACGTTAATGGTTAAGTGAAACCTTGTAAAAAAGCAAAAAGTACAAATTAATTAAATCATAAAAACAAAAAATTATACTTGTTTAATAGAGAACGATTTTTCAAACAACAAATATTATAATATTTTATGGTAAATATTATTTACTTTAACTTTACAGTGGATTTCAGTGATGGTTATGTTCTATTATATTATAATATGAATGTCATAATAAAAACGTCTTCTACTGGAATGATATTATTGAAATTTTACAATTATTTTATTTATTATGTGTCTTTATACATATTTTAATATCGACTGAATTATATAGACATATTAAACTTATATATTTGCTGATGTAACAACTGTTATGCATTAAATTATTCGCGATATTATTTAGATAATTGTGTTAATGTTTGTTGAGTAGTATTTTTTTAAGTATTACATTGTGACGACTAGGTTTCATTGTTATTAATATTATATTGCACAATATATTATTTTATACCTCCTGTGATAATAAAGTGATATTTTTTTATTTACGTTATTAGGCGCAAATGTATATAAAATATTTCTTAAATGCTTGTATTTATATATATGATATAATATTACTTAATAATACATTTTGTGTGTAAAAACTACTAAAGAATTACTTAAGCGCCATTTTCTCATGAATATTTGCGCCTATTCGATCTTATTTAAAATTACATTATAGTAAATTAGCTTTTAAGTTTAGTATTATGAAATTAAATATTAGAAAAAACTTTCAAAACGGTGCTGAAGCATCAATTGGAATTTTTTTAATAATTTTATGTTAAAAAATTGTTACAAATAAATAAATAAACCTTGCGTTATAATTGCATTGAAAATAAATGTAATAGTTGTATTTATAAATTATTATACTATGTGCCTATATTTATCAATTGATAATAAAATTATTTTGTAGAATAATAACTATATTTATTTATTATCAATAAATAATAAACGACAATTTTATAAAATTACTACCATTAGAAAATACAATATTATCATAAGTCATAATAACCTTATAAACGGTTGATTAAGTACACAACAACATTACACAAATATAGTTATCGCTTTCAGGATCCTGTAATAGCTTATGCATAAGGTTTATGCAACGCTAAGAGTTGCGGCGCAGTCATAGGACTGTTAAAATTTTATTTTGCCAATTCAGAAACGTAATTAGTAGCAAGATTTTCTCTAAGAATAACATATTCCTATTTTTACATGTAAATATTTTGTAGAACAAATTGATTTGTATGTAGGAAAATAGAACACTATGTCACTATGCAATTCTAAATGCCATGACAATTTGTCTTGTCGAAATAAATAATTTATTTAATGCCTATAATAATAATATTATCCTAACATGTACTTATTTTTACATTCCCCTAGTTAAAATAAATTTAAGCTATCGTTATAAAAATAACGGATTTTCACTAGACAATTCTAGTTTTCACCAATATATTTTAGGCATAACTAGTTTTAATTAAACAAAAGTAAGTTAAAACTAGTTTTTACGATGAACGTTTTAGTTATTTCTAGTTTTAACTATTTGAAACCAGAATTAACTAAAGAAATTTTTGGAAACTATATAGTTTTGACCGATTTTTAGTTTTAACTGTAACGTTAACATTAAACCAATAATGAAGTTAAATGGCAAAATATCAACAATAAGTTAGATATGAATATTAAATACCTAATGTTAATCAATTATAAAGTACACAGGAAATTAGTGTTTTTTATATGTTAAGTATATTATCATAAGGTATTTATTATTGATTAGTTTTAAGTCATAAAGTTTATGATCCACTTACTCTGTGACTTGTGGTTTGATTCGATCCTTAAATTATATTACAAACATGACCATATATTAAACTCGTACTTTATGTCTACATAAACACTACAAATATATTTTGTTTGGAATACGCAACAAACCAAGCCAGTGTATAAATAGAAAATTAAAAACAATCAAGTCATGATTTAATTAACAAGTTACCAGTAAATTATTTCATAAAAATTAGTTGATACATTCATAATATACGAAAATTATAGATAATAATCATTAGGTATGTACTATGTAAATACTATGTCTATTTTACTACATAGACATAAAATCTAATGCAATATCAATCCAATAAAAAGTATCAACAATATTTAAAGTAAGTAAGGACATACAATGACAGTATGACACCTTTAATTTTATTAAATTTAAATTAATTTTTATTTAATTTTATTTTAACTGAAATTTTTCACGCACACCTAACCTATTAAATATGAAATTGTTACTAAAAACTAATATGATTATAAAATTATGATATTTTATGTATATCGTATATCGTATATTTTATACATGACATTAAAAAATATAAATTGCTCTTTAATATATGTATATTGTATAATATATACATAGGTATTTTTACATAGTATACTATAACCTAACCATATTTTTGTTGAAATTTTTCACTTCTAACTTTGAAATAGCTATCTAAACATATAGGTGTACAATTGTAATATATAAATAATAAATATTGGTTTTAAAAAAATGTAGATACTTAGTAGTTACTAAACATTATATAGTATTTATTAAGTATAAAAAATAAGTTAAATAAATGGCGTTTACAATAACGTCCAGCATAACCAAAACCTTTAGAGAAAAGTAGGCACAAACACATAACGGGTCAGAGAATACATAATTTACTAAACGGGCTGTTGGTCCTTATGTTAATTGTTATTTATCATTATTATTTACGGATTTTTTACTGCGTATTTTCCAATTAAGAATAGACATTATTCGACACGATTGTACAGCTATGGGATGAAAATGATGACTCAAACAAACGATGATGAAAAGATAAGATATAAATAAGTACTTAAAAAAAGAATAAATAAATTACTAGCTGTTATAAATATGTTATCATATAAAATAAGATGCAATATTTTCAACAATATTTGTAATTATTAATAGTGCTTTTATTGAAGATAGAGTACACATTTGACATACCCCTTCTAGTTATATCTTAATCGATAAGACATTTAAATACTCAGAAACGCACATTTTTTTACACTTTTGCATTACCTCTTTTAATTTTTTTCAATCCAACACTGATTATAAATAACTATATTAAAATTTAATTTAAGTGATTAAATTATAATATATTCAAATATATTTTTTAATATTCTTCAATGCAACATATAACTTAAAAAAATATAATCATAAATAAACGTATCATTCGACTTATTGATCAATTTTATTTGAATTGAATAAATATATATATACATATAAATGTATATTTTCTATTGATTAATCTGTATTTTGGAAATTACAGATTGTGAAAACTTTAAAATCACCATTTATAAATAAAAATTATGATCATGTAATAAAATGAAAAAAGTTTGATAAATCACATTTATCGACTTTACCATGGTACTTCAAAGGTTAGTACAATATTCTAGTATTTAAATATTTAATAAACTATAACAATACATTTAATACACACAGAGAGTTTGATGAGTATACTCTGACCATTCTATACCGTGGCATAAATAACGTTGATAGAACAAATAATATATTATATTATATGAAATCAAAAATATCAGGTTAAGGTATTATATAATTATAGTTAACTATATTTAATATTTGTTATGACTGAATCAAATAACATAATATTCAAGATAAAATATTTCTTGTTATGTTTTAATTAAATTTGATTTACGTGTATAAACAATTAACAATTTGATTTTGTTTCATGGAATTCAAATGCCTGATAAAGCGGAAGGAAGAAGATCCTATAACAGGAATTAGAATTTCACAATTATGGCCCGAAGAAAAATAAAACAGCGATCGTATAGAAACACAACTTATGTTTATACTACCCAATTATCAATATGAAAATACGCCAATCAAAAAAATTTTACTATACAACAGTATAAGCAATTAAATGTTAGATGAAGAACAAAGTGAATTTCTTTCAAGCGATTGTCTGGTAAATAGATGTACAATTTCAACTAAAATAAAATGTATTACTTCGATGGATGCAGTTATATTTCGAGAGGAGTTCTCTGATCCATTGTATGACATTGGATATAAAAAGATCAGTAAACAAGTATGAAAAAAATGTACATATATATTTAATTACTTTAATTATTATAGTTTATTATAAATTTTAGAATAAGTCTATTAAAAAACAAAAACATTAAAATTAAATATAAATGTAAATGTTTCTTAATAGATATAGATTTTCTTCTTTCTTCGATCAGCATATTACTTAGGATTTAATGTAGGAAACGATATGATTAACAGCTACATATTGACACGATAGTGATATCGTCATACCATATGCATGATGGGCATATTTCAAACATTCAATGACTCGAGATCAAACATTTAAATAGGAATTACCAATTGTAATACTGACAACAAAAGATTATTGTATGCTAAATCAATTGAGCAAATATATATCTGTTGATATGTTTGGTGAATGTAAAAGATTGAATAAGACAAAATCTGATAATTTTTTACAAATATTAAAACATGATTATAAATTCTATTTGGCGTTTGAAAGTTCAAATTGTATCGATTATGTAACAGAAAAGTTTTTTATAGAAGGACTTCAGTAAGTTTATAATTTTCTTAGTTATATATTATATTTAATAATGACGTTATAAACTAACTATTGAACTATTACTTTAATGTGATTTATATTAATTATTAAATATGTTTATATACAACAGTTAAAACTTTAAAATTGATAAACTGTACTTTTAAAGTTGTAAGTACCAGAAAACTTTAAAGAGCACTTAACAACATATAAATAATAAAATACATAATTTTAATAAACAAAAAAATACTTCTTTCTTTACGGTTTTACAATTTTGAAGAAATGTTTTTAATAATGTAATAAAGACAAATTTAATTGCATTAAACATTTAAAACTGATTCTAAAATAAAAATCGCTTTATCACTGTATTGATGTCTCTGACCATCCATGAATCTCATGTATAATATATTATACACGACTTTCTATGCGAACAGTTATAACTCACAGCTGCTTTGAAAGTACGAACGTATAAAATAATTTTCGATAGAACTAAAAATATTGTAACGATATAATTATCAGATATCAGCGGTTGATATAGGTACAACGTTCTGCCGGTCGTGATGGGCGGACGTCGAGAAGGCTACAGGCGGATAGCGCCAAGACATTCATACCTATACATGTGGACGACTTCGAGTCACTTGACGGTTAGCCAAGTATTTGCGATGGTTGGATGCCTACGAGTACTTTCGGTGGAAGGGCCCTGGCGAGTTTGTCGACACAAAGTTCCTCTGTCGGCTGTACGCGATGCTGCACGACGATGGTACACCGGCCAAGCACTACCATGATGTGGACCACTGGTGGCGAAAATCGGCCGTATGTGACTATTCGACGAAATGGTTGAAACTACTCACTGCCTTATAATCAGTGTTCGGATTAGCACCCGGGCTTGCAGTTGGAATGGTTTTTGCGGTCGCTCTCCTGCACCACAATCGTATCCATCGCCGCGAGCAAGTTCTGAGTATGTCGTGCGTAGGACATATTATGTTCTTTTTTATTGATTCACATAGACACAACTTCAGTATTTTTTTTTCTGAGGGGAATAGAATTATATAGTCAATAATATGTTATATATTCAGCATGATATGTCTACTACATACTAATAAAAAAAAAAACTATTAAGTAATAACAGCAGTCGTATCATTTCAGTTTTTCACTTTTTGGTGCAAACGATGTCAAAACGATGACAACTTATTTTTAAAGTTTAGTTATAAATTATAACAAATAGCAATAATGTGAAGTATACAGGCAATAAGATACAAATTTTGAACTACTAAAATACAATTTACAAATATTTTTTTCATATTTTAATGGAAAATAATCAATTTTTATGTTTTCTTAAAAAAAATAATAAACACAAATATGCTTATTTCTCATTAAAATTATTATTATTAAGTATAATATAGATATTCATGATTAATTATATGCATATGAATAAATTATTATATCTGCATATACACGTGTAAAAAAAAAATACCTGTATACTCACTTAACTGTTTTCAAAACAGTTGTTCAAACATGCATTGTTTCATAAAACAATATTTTGGTCACATTAAAAACCATGCAATTGGTCCTACTTACTTAGTTTCTATTGAATAGCAAAAAACATATTTTCTATCTATACATTTTATAAACTCTAAAACTAAATTATTATTCATTCTTGGAAGTTTTTAAAATAACCTTTAATGGATATTAGCTGTAAAGAAAAAATAACAATCAAACTTTTTGACCATTAAGAATGTAACTTATTTTATTAGTGTTATTAAAATATTAGTGACAATCAAACTATTGGATACATTTAATTGTAGATAATAAGTCTTAAAAATATATCATGACAAATCGACAATTACGTCTTCTACTGATTCTTGTATTATGTGTTTCTATTTTGTATAGTATTTTTACGGTGTATTGGTTAATTAAGAGAAGATATAATCTGAAGACGTTACAGCGACCAGGCGCGTATAATAAACCAAATGAGAATAATGTTTTGGATAATTATAATCAACAGGTAAATTATAGATTTTTATTGTTTTAATATTTCTTCATTTTAATAAATAAAAAAAATATATTAAAAATAGTATTCAATGAATATTTCTTTTGAATTAGTGAAAAATTCAACCAAAAATAAAATAATTTCATTTAATTAGCCATGTGTAAATTATGTAAAATACATTGAGTAATTTGCTGATAAAGATATACGTACAATACAATAAAATATGGTTTAATTTTATGCATTATAAATAAGTTATGAATAATAACTAATTATTGAGTAATTATCTGTCAATAAAGATAAGAACACACTCCTTGAATTGCCTCCCAAATTTAGATTGTTTACCTTTTCTTATTCGAATTATTGTGTTCGGGTGTTTTAGAAAACAATTTGAGTACACCTGAATATTATACATTTATACTAGTATTTTCTTTCATAGCATACCTAAAATAAAATTAATACATGTATAATAGTTACAATATGTACTATCGGTTATTATGTCAATTTTCGGAAAATTTAAAAATATAGTTTTATAACATCATATATTATATCCTAGAAAGATTAATTTATCGAGTGCAATCATTTTCATAATCTGTCAATCATGAATTATCTATCAGCTAAAAATGTACTCAATATTTCCCAACATAATAAGTTTTTTTTTGCACAACCATTACCGTAATGACGTATATAATAATATTGTTGGTACATCCTTCATAATAGAACGTTATTAATAAAAAATTATCAAACAGTTTTAATTTAAGATGGATTTAAGTTTGTATTTCAAAAAAATGTAGATAACGACAATAAACGATTCACATAAACGACTCGCATAAACGCCATAAGCATAATATGTTGTTTAAAAACAAATCAAATTAACAAAATATTCGATTGAAAAATTCTAAATTTATTCAAAATGATGGCAAAAGATCAACAGATACTCAGTGACAATCTATAATGTAAAACTTTAAAATTTATTTTTGAAAGACCAGCCAAATAACCTTACGATGAGATAAAAAATTGCAATTATATATACCTATACTTTCATTAAAAACTCGGGGGTAAATTGCATTAAAATGTATCTTAAAATGTAATTTATATTTAAAATTGTCTCAAAATATGAATGAAGTCTATTAAGTATTATATGCTCTATTGAGGTTAAACAATTTTTACATAAGAACTTTTTAATAATGAATATCCCATTACATAGTTTGATGATATATTCTTAAAATGACATTACAAAGTTTGTAAGAACGCTAAATACTTTAAATGTGGATTGAAATTTTGACTATTTAATCAAATTGTTCAATATTGTTATTCATTTTCAATATATTAATTGCATAATAATAATAATAATAATAAACATTTTTTCATAAAGTATAAAATTTAAGTATCATAAAAACTATCTTTCATGGAATTACACTATCAAAATTTTAAGTTAGAAATATTTTTATCTAATAAATTATGTTGAGCTTGTTCATTTAAATATTCTATTCAGTAGAACATGGAGTTTGACTAAAAATTTCTGGTGACAAGAAATAAGAATATTAAAAAAAAATTTTAAAAAAATAAAACCAAAAAGTAACGGACTTTATTGGTTATAAAAATTTAAATATTATAAATTATATGAAATATGAATTCAATAATTTGCTTTATTTATGTAACAAGACTAATATTAATTTAGTGCAAAACAAACTAAAAATCCAAAATATATATATTTTTACATTTTAATTTTGAATCTTTGATAATCAAGGAATTTAAAAATGTAAATGCGAAATAACATTAATCAAATTTATACAGAACCATCCATATTATTTGGAACCAATTATAACAGTAACACCTTATTACAAAGAAATGGAATGGAATGAAATTGCGAACCCACCTTTACCATGGTATTTCAAAGGTAATTATAATTCATAAATTTAAAAAAATAAATACGGTCGTAAGACGTAGATATAAATATTACTATTATGTGAATTGTGAGCGTGTTGTATAATTTGCAAAACTACCTAAATGGCTAGAATATACTATATATTTAATACTTAATTAATCATTATTCCATTGTATACTTATACACGACGTATAATTAATTATTAAAAATAACATTTTCGTTTTTTACTATTATAAATATATTATACAAATAATTATTATAAATTACAAAACATTGCTATGTATCATCATTGTTTTTTCAGATGGTTCAATAAAACCTACCAAAGCTTCATCAAGCTCTGGAATAAAACTTTCTCGGGTATGGCCGGAGGAACAAATAAATAGCGATCGCATAGAAGAACAATTGATGTTTGTACCACCAAATTACGAGTATAACAATGCACCAATTAAGTCAATTTTATTATTCAACAATGTTAATGAATGGATGGTTGATAGTGGGCAAAACGAATTTATTTCAAAAAATTGCCCAGTAAATAGATGCACAATTACTACAAATAAATCAAAAGGCTCAAACATAGATTCAATTTTATTTCGAAATGAATTCTCACGTCCAAGTCACATAAAGACCAATAAACAAGTAAGAATGAACATTTAAACAATGCTACAACTGGGATTTTTGTAAAATTCCTGCAGGTGCAGATAATTAATATTTTATGCAATTCCTAAATTAACACAGTAATCTATATAAATTGTAAGAATGTTCCACTTTTCCGGAAAGACTGACGTTTTCGTTTACAACTATCAGTATAATAATAAATGTTTCCATTTTCATCCACAATAAATTTCAGTTTTTACATTTTTGGTCACCCCTTATTACAAAACATATATTGGTTATTTCTATAAAATTTTATCCAGGAAATAGAATTCTAAAATATATTAAGACTGTTTTTGCGAGCATTCTTATTCAATATTAACTATTAATAAGTTGGTATTTAAAAATATATGTGTTAAAAAAGCGTAAGTTATTCAATAAATATTTTTAAAAATTATATTAATTCTTTGCCATATTTAGGTTCTATAATACTAAACTACAGTTTAAGTTAATACTGGAAAATTCAACATTTTTTGGTAAAAAAATATAATAATTATAATTAATGAGTATTTATCATCGAAAAACTAATTAAACTTAGCGATGTGAATGACAGGTTTGTGATGTTTTATGTTTTGGTTTATACGAGTATAAGCAATATACTTCAATCATAAAATATAATTAGTTATAGGCTGACCGTCTTCGCCCAGAATCGTTTTTTGTATGAAATGACGAAGTATGCTCGACAGTCAACATCTACTGCAGACTGCAGTGATCTCAAACTCAAATTACCTACGGGCCATATATTTTTTCAAAAAAAATTCGTGGGCCAAATTTTAAGTGTCACTTTTATACTTACACACTAGAAACTAAAGGCAAAATGAAGGCAAAAATACATACAAAATCCATTTATTTACTTTTTATTACTACAAAATTATCATTGAAAAAATATAATGATCGTTAACTTAAAAAAAAATTATAATTAAAATTTAAAAATAGCTTGAATATTTGATAATTTTTATTTTTGAGCTGCACTATTTTCATATTTTTGTTCAAAATGTATTTTTATTGCGGGCCGTATGTTTGAGACCACTGATCTACTGTCTGTATACATTATGGTATGGTTACCTATTTTCCCTCTTTTTAAAATTGTTGTATGCTCCACAGATATGGATTTTATTTATTAATAAGTCTGCATACTATACAGATTTGAACGTTGGCTATGATTTAATCAACTGGACTGCTACATATCGACATGATAGTGATATCGTTACGCCTTTTCAACGATGGGCTTATTACGATCCGTCAGTAACTCAAATTGAACAATTTAATCGAAATTACGCACGAAATAAAACGAAACAAATGTCGATAATTATCACAGATTGTAACACTAATTTTGACAAAGAACTATTTTATGCTAGAGAGTTGAGCAAATATAATATATCTGTAGATGTATATAGTGAATGTGGTGAATTTAAAAATATCGAATCTGATACATTTCTACAAATGCTGGATCAGAATTATAAATTTTATATGGCTATCGAAAATTCAAATTGTATTGATTACGTGACCGAAAAGTTTTTCGTCTACGGACTTCAGTAAGTACGGATATATTATTATTATTATTATTAAAAAAAAAAATTGTCTTTGCACCGTGAATATTTAATATATAATAATCATCAAATTATACAGAAAAAATATTCTTCTTTAGCTTTTAGTGATCGGTATATCATTGTTATGCTTAAACTAAATTTTAATAAATTTTGTTTATAACCAACAAATTGATTATTAAATATTGATAATTATTATAATATATAACACGAAAATCTGTATACTAATGGTATTCAACTCAGTAAACGTTTCGCATCTGCAGGCATAACGTATTGCCGGTCGTGATGGGTGCTCGTCGCGAGGACTACAATCGATTCGCACCAGAACGATCGTACTTACACGTGGACGACTATGAGTCGCCAGTACATCTGGCCGAGCATCTGCGGCAGTTGGACGCCAACGACGATTTGTACAACGAGTACTTCCAGTGGAAAGGTGCCGGCGAGTTTATCGACACAAAGTTCTTCTGTCGGCTGTGCGCGATGCTACACGACGACGGAGCGCCGACCAAGAGTTACCGGAACTTAAACCTCTGGTGGCGTGGTCCAGGTGTTTGCGTTGACCGTGGCCCCGAGATCCCGACACAATTGCCGGCACCGCCGTTAGCGGTTAATGACAGAGAAGAACAATAACGTAATTAAGAGCACTGGCGACGTCATCAGACTCATATATTTTGTATACATTATTATTTATTATCATGTATTGCACCTACTCTTATTATAGACTCTGATTCTCTCCTGACTCTCTGATCTTTTAAGTATCAACTCTTACACATACGTTTTTCTTACCCCTTTCACTCCCACCAACATCACATATTCAAATTATTTAAAATTTTAGTCAAATTAGTATGCAATTGACATGTATTTATAAGATAATTTTTATAATTTTCACACTATTTAGTTATTCATAAAACCAAACATTTCCCAAGAGAGTTAGAGTAATATATCTCCACCTCTCTCCTTCCACAAAGATAATTATTATATTTACATTAGAATTGTTTTCTTGTGCCAATTAATACACATATGATTAGCGTGAATTTCAAATTTGCACGATTAAACTCAAAATTTGCATATTATTTCACCGCTCTATATAAAATCCACTGAAAGTCGTATTATTTGACTTTACTGTGGAACTAAAAAAATTTTGAATTTGTTTATGTAAATTTGTCGTCCACTTTCTTTCTATTTTAACCTCTTCTTGAAAGTTTTTATTTTATGCATAATTAAATCCTGCAAATTACGTAAATAGCCTTGCAAATACAAATTATACTGAAATATTTTGAATATTATAAGGGGTTAGAAAATACCTTTTGCATGTTTTTTACAAGAATAGTACTATGGACGGGTTGAAATGCAGTTTTTGGGGTATACAATCATATAATTCCCCGCTTATAGTTAGTATACGTATTATATAGGTAGTTTAGTAGTTATATAGTCATATAAACCGTTCAAATTATATTCAATAACTTCATATTCATCAACCTTTTATGTTGTAAATTTAAACTTACTCTAACTTTGTCAATTTTATAATTAGAAACAAACTTTTTAAACAAATACAATTGTAAAAAAAATATATATTCTATTAGAATATATAAAAAAAAATTGATGCTGCCATTTAAAAAATAAATAAATTGTATTGTATATAAGTGTACCAAAAGTGTTAACATTTTGTAATTTTCTAAAAATATGTACTATGATACTAATTTCTGTTATCTTCCAAAAATCAAATATTTAGTGTTACACTTAGCGTGAACAATATATACTATATAAAGTCTATATACCTATAGGCATATAATATTATATAGGTAGGTACTATTTATTATTTACATACCGTAGTTTAAAGTATAGACGCATAAATATATTTGTAAACATGAAGTTATATGTATCATGAGTAAATAAGCGAATAATTTTTTTTAAAACAATTTCTTGTCAAAATTATAGCAATGATTATAAATAATTAGATAATCGAATTTATAAAGCTCTTAAACACTCCAATTTTCTTGCCGGCCGTAACTCGATGCTTTTAACTTTTGCCTCACAATTTTTCTTATTACCCATCATGGTTACAAGTTAACAATTTCATAGTAAATACTAATGGTAAAACGCATCATAAATCATAATAATTAATCGATACCTAATGTGAAATTATGATAATGTGCTATTGCAAATTGATATATAGAGGAGAAGCATATAATTGTTCAATCATACATTATAGTTTTCACTTAATTTTTAACCATATTACTATTTAATGGATTATTAAAACTAAAATTTTCCAAATATTTGTGTGCTAATATTTAATGTTATATTTTTCATTAAGACTAATAACTCTAAAAAAAACAAGCTAATCAGATGTGATTTATATACCTGATTTATTATAATTAATAATCCAGTCAAAGCTCTTGTAAACATAATATAGATACAAACTTAAACTATTATATCATAATTTGTGCTTCCATTCTAAATTTGTATACCTACTCTTCGTTCATGTACCTGCATATTAAAATCTAAATTTATGCTTCCTAAAATAATTTGAAAAATGGAGGTGTCTGGTTCAATTATTGAAGATAATATATCCAATAAATACATTAGGTAGTAATTTAATATTTTATAATTAAAAATAATAATTCAATATAGTCATTATATTAATAGGAACTTGAATTAAAACGTACAACGATTTACGTTGACAAAATGTTTTTTCACAATATAAACACTTCGTAACAACAGTGTCCATGTTTTATTAATGCTAATTAAAACTTTACTGTTCTGTATTAAACTCTGAGTAAACGTAAAGTCAATGACAGTCCTCTACTAAGTATAAATTATGAATGACTAAAAAGTAAAAACCGGAAGTTTATTTTAAATATTTTAACTATTAATTATTATTCATCAACAATAATAATTGTTATCACGGATGCCAAAAACCAAATCAAATTGCGGAACAAACCACTAGGAGCACTGCGCGCGTGATAAGGATGCCAAAAATCTACTGCTAGGAAACTCTCGTTGAAAAAATTGTTGACGCCAAATTGATAACAGTTTTTAGAGAATAATAAACATCCAACACAGATAATAGCCGCGGTTTGATTTGAACTATTTAGTTAGTAGTTACAAATAGTTAGTAGTTTTAATTTTTAACTAATGTCTATAATCTAGTTAATAGGTATATAGTTTTTAGTTACCTATATTTAAAATATTATTGAAATTGACTATTTGAATTTGATTTTGATGTAACTCAAATCTTTTATTATTTGTATAAGTTATCAATTCTTAAGGTACACTTGTAAACTTTTATATCTATTACAACTTGTAAGTACCAACAGAAATTATAAATATTATAGTATTAACCATGTATTATTAAACTAACATTATTTTAGAATAAAAATGAATAAACTATTTAATTTAATTTTTTAGATTAATTTAATATGGAACATAGATTTTCAACATATGAAACTATTAGTTCAAAAGCATGCCCTGTGTACATTAAATTGAAATTTCAACAAGTTAAGCGTAGACAAGAAACTTTAGAGATACAAAAACAGTAAGTAAAGAATTTAATTTTTATTAGTTCATAATATTATAGTTAGATAGTAGCTGCAAATAGTTAAGTGATGAATTAGAACGAAGGAAATAAAAGTGAGGTATACTGGTATACACCGTCATTTAACTCAACAGTAGCTTACTGATAACATAAAATTCCTGTAATATAGGTTTCAATTATCTTGCACTACTAAAAATTTTGTTAAAGCCCTTTATTGGCATTATATGTTATTGCTTATTTGAATTGTGTTAGAGAGAACATCTCTTGAACACTTTCCGAGTAAAAATAACATTAACAGACCCCAGATTTCTTCATAGCTAATAATAAAATTTGACATTTTGGATTAAAATATCTATATTATGTGTATAATAACATTGAATTAAATTGAATATAATTTTAATAAATTTACTATAATTAAACTTTCTAAGTAAAAATGTATGTTCAAAAGTTAAAGATTAATTAACATCCATAAAAATGAATTTAGATTTTTATTTTATAAATTAATTTATTATAATATAAATGTTATTCTTGTCTCATGTACAGTCTATTATGCATTTATGCTAATTTCCAACGATTGGGCTTTATCTTAACAATGTAACTTCTATTAGTTATATAATACTATAATAAAACCTAGATTTAACAATAGTTGTGACTATAATATCAGTTACAGTTAAGTTCGCTCTGTTACACATTTAACTGTTTTTTAAGATACGTTAAATTATATTTATTATAAATAATATTACTTTTTAATTTTTTTTTCAATTTATGGTTAGATTTTGACACATTATTGGATTATTAAATGTACTATAATTTTACATTTCTTTATTTATTCATATTTTAATAAAGTAATAAAAGTATCTGGTAGACAAAATATGACGTATAGAAACATGTTTGGTAGACATAAACTGTATGTCCGCATATGACGTATAGAAATGTATGGTATACTGCAAACGACAAAAATACCATATAAACTATATAATATAGTGTTAAAAAAAGATGTATATTATTTTAATTTATATTTTATTCTCTTAGAATAAATAGCCATTAGAAATTAGCAATATATAAGCTTACAGTAGTCTTTTACCATAGTACTGCCAAATTATTAAAAACATTGGATAGTAAAAATTTTAATTTATTTATTTTCATTACATTTTTATTGAATTATGAGTGTAGATGTAATTAACATAATTTAAAAGCAAATAATTTTTGTCAAAATTCCAATAATATTTTAAAAAGATTCAATTATATTAAATTATAAGAACAATAATTCAAAAATAAAATTATAGCGAATATAGTAAAAATACGTTAGATTTCTAATGGTGCTGGACTGATGAAGAGCCAAAATATCAAAACCCAACTGCAAATAATTATATGAGTATTTTTAACATATTACACGTTTTTAAGACGTATAAAAAAAAACAAAATCATACGTAATTGGTATGAATATAGACATACACGACATTTAATAATAATAGTGATTAAGTAATTTATTTACATATTGTTATTTTGACCATAATAAAAAAATTTTTCTATAATAATTATAATACTAGATTGAAAATTTAATTGTTTTTTATAATTTAATTGATCAATATATATTAATTATTTGTATATATTTAAAATATATAATTCTTGAGATTAACGGTTTTGAGTTAAAACTTTTGACCAAGTTCACTAAAATAAAATAAAAAAACTGTTTAAGGATAAGTATTTATAGTTATAATCAATATTCAATGGTAATAGGTACTCAATACTTTAATAAAAATGATAACTATGAATTATGATAAACTAATATATTTAACAATTATGTGTAGTTTATAGTAAGTTATAGTTACTATTGTTATTTGTTAAATTAGTATGTAATCTATGTGATTTTGATAATTTATAAAAAAAAGTCAACTATCGACTTATTTTTAGTTTTAATCTGTACTTTTTGAGTTATGGGTACTCTTTAAAAATACTTTGATAGTTAGGGTACTACAAGTATGATATTTGGTTGAGTCACTTTTCTTCATCATTCATCAGTTACTTAAATACTAATTAGTCAGCATAATTTAACATTTTTCTGCTATGATTAGGGTTTTTAAATTTTATTATTTAAAACCAACTGTTTTATTTGATTCAATGTTTTGCTATAAGAAAAGTGTATTTAGTTTTATTAATTTTCTTTAATCAAAGAGTGATGATGTTTCTGACTTTCTTTTGTATTAATTAAGTACCAAATTATACATTCAGAAATTCTAGTTTTATTGTTAGGGTTAATATTATTATTAGATCAAATTGACCTATTATTTAGCTAAATTCAAGCCTGGTACAAAGAATAGGAAGTAAAAATGAATGAGACCAAATTGATTTATTGTACTTTCACACTCCAACAAGGAATATTTCAGGCTCTCCTCCTTAACAGTCAACCCCTTCTAGCGACCAGCTTCCTACTGCTCAATGTGTACACTACCTTGAGATCAACATCGATCGTCGACTTACTTGGTTAGCTCATATAAAAAATAAAACTATCTACCACAATATTACTTAAGACACGCTTGGTCCTATGGCATAGGGCTATAGGGCTCAGCCAAAATCTCAAAGACTAGCCGCTAACAAAGTTTTCCATTTAAAGTCCTTTGCATTATCTTAAAAACCCCATTCTACGTTTCCAATAATACCCTTCACTTTGACTTTAAACTACCCACTGAAACTGAATTAGCAAAACTCCTCTATAAGCAATTCATTAGTAAACTAACTCATCATTTCAACCCTTCTATCATATTCTGCATTCAGCAACTATTCCAGGAAATCCTCTACAAAACAGTATAAATCATTATTATCTAACGATAAAATTTAAAAAAATTTTATATAATTTTCAGCTATGGTTGTTATTAATACTTTATTAGTATCGCTATCTTAAATGCATATTCACATTAAAGTACTTTCCCTGGGAGGGAGGCCTCTTCTTCCTGTCTTTTCCGTCATTATTTTATCTTAATTATTACTTAAGATTATTGTTGTAATAGTAACAGATGGCATGATGGCATAGTATAGAATTTTGAGAAAAAAATTTAACATTTTGTAAAAATCCAACAAATTAACAGAGATAATGTTCTTAGTTTTAATTTTCGTAATAGGTCAATTCACTCTAATTTTAAAGCTTACAACATAAAATTGGAATTACTGAACGAATATTTTGGTATGTTATGCGTTATAATTTGACGAAACTACACACGCTAGAACGACGTCTTCTTAACCGTGAAATCGAGTGCCGACGCCAAACAGAACACAGAAATAAAAATATAAAATTCAGTCAAACGTGTCAAGTCTCAGGATTAATTTGTACTATTTGTAGTCTGTAGACTGTTTAATTATGGGACCCAGTCCCCTACTCTTCCTCTCCATGCTAATGCTGGTTTTAATTTTTAATTTGATCATAATTTATAAGCTATAAAATATTTCATATTGTTCCATGTTGTAATCAAATTATATCTTTATAGACCACGGGCCACGATAAAATATATTATTATCTATAGTTATATTACAGGACTATGTTTGATGCTGGTTAATGTTATATATATAGATTTTGAAATCGGGAATTTCCGGTTTATAAGATAATACAACTTTGTACAATAGACAACAGTTTAATGTTTATACAGTTCATACTTCATAGACCATAGTCACTAATCACTATATAGACAATTAGACAGTAGACTCTAGTTGTGTAGTGCGTACTGCGTATACTCTGCCGTTGCTATTTTGCCGAACGCCAATGCTAATTATTAGTTACTGGTTATAGGTATTAGGTAGTTAAACCTACCTGCACCCGTGTCGTGAATATGTTTATTATTTGCTGTATAGTTAAATTCTTAAGCTATTAGTTTTAGTTAAGAGTTAACTTGTGTTATGCTAAAGTTAAGTCTTTAAGAGTGTTAAATACTGTAGTCAATATTTTTCTTTACCTATTATTGAAAATCAATTAAAATGGGAACATCAATGTTAAAATATTTTATTGAAATCATTAATAATCTCGATTCAATTGTTTTTATGTAAGTTTAATGATTTGCTTATTAATAAGCATTCAGAATGTATGCAAATTGCATTTTGATTTTAGTTTAAATATTGAATTTGTTTCATATTATATTCCTATTACATAACAAAATTATGTAGCTATATAAAGTATTATGTTTTATTTTAATATAAGTATTGATGAAAAGTTTTATGTCTCTTATGATTAATATTTTTTGGTATATCTATTTTTTTTTTTTTAGAAAACGTGATCAACAAATTAATGAAAGAAGAAATATTAAAAATGATGCAAATAATACATATATGGTATGTCATTTCATTCAAAATAACTACTAATATATTTTTAGTATTATCAATAGACTAAATATCTTGTCAAATTATAGTACTGTATGTATATTGTATAGGTTTATAAAATGTATAGCTCAAAATAAAATTATAATACTTTTGGTTTCTTGACTAGATGAGATACAGTTTAAAAAGTTAAAATTTATTTTTGAATTACATAATTAAAATTTCATTAAATAGCTTTTTATAGCATCAACATTTATAACACAAATTAAGTTAGGTATAAATAATTAATATTATAATTAACAAAATACATATTAAATTCATTTTTTTTTTTACTATTAGATACAATTAACATTAATAATTTTTGTGTTCAAACAATGTCATTTATATCAATAATTTTGGTAGAATAGATCTAGAAGATTATGACACAATTTTCAAAAGTATTTCAATATTTTATTTTATTTACAAATAATATTCATCATTAAAATATAATGTATAGTTTTCTTGTTATTAGGTACACTTATAATGACAAAATTATAAATATTATAGAGCTATTTATTTATATTTAGTACATAAGATTAGATTTAATTTTATATTGACATTTGTTTAATAACATAATATAAAATAAATAACTATAGGAAATTGACGAAAGAAAAAATGGAACAGTGGAGCCAAGTAATGAAGTATATGAACTTGCATCGTCCATGATGTATTCAGAATGGATGCTTGAAACACCTGAAGACATTGATAGTTGGATTGCAGTGTTATGTCCAGAAGGAAAGCGATGTTGTGTTATTGCTCAAGATGTATGATATTTAATAAATTTATCAAATACTTTTTTCCAAAAAAAAAGATATAGTTAACAGAATTTAAATTGTTGATTATTTTGTTTTCAGAACAAAACAAAAACAGTTAACAAATTTGGAACTACACTCAACAATTTTCCATCATTATTTCCATATGGATGCCGTGTATCAAATAATTGTCCATCTCATCGTAAACGTACAGTTTTAGACTGTGTGTATAGTTTCAAGTTAAAAAAATATTATGTTTTGGACATTATTGAGTGGATGGGTGTACCATATACAAATTTTGATGTATGTTATATTTTTAATAATATTTAATACCAAATAATATCATAAAATGTTTTTATTTTTTATTTTTTTTGTAGGCTGAATTCAGATTTTACTTTATACAGAGTAAACTTAATGAAATACCAGGTATCAATGAAAAATCAACAACAAATTTTTATCCGTTTGAAGTAATAATACTTAATATTTAATAATACTATTGAATATAGTAAACCAACTATTATATAATTATTAATGTTTAATTTAGCTCGCTCCACGAATGATTACCAGAGATTTGTATCAGCATCTGTTGGAAAAATATCAATTTTTCCCTGATAATATTGAATTAGACGGTATTAATTTTTACTATCCAGAAAGTTTGTACACCTCAGGTGAAACACCATTAGTACTTTGGCTGAAACCGTTTATGATACCTGATGTTTTACAAAAGCCAGTCAATGATCAATTAGTACAACTACATAGACCGCCTAATTATGTTAATGTATTTGAGTACAGTCAGAGTTTGAAAAAGAAAAATAAAAAATCTAGGAAGAAGAAGAATTCTACTCTTAATTATGATAAAATGGAAGTAGAAAATTTGGTTGAGGTTAGTAGTATATAAATTTTTTGTATTTTTAGAACAATTTTTGATGCTTGTAAACAATAGTTAAATAAATAATATATCCATTAATTAATGAATTCTATAATTATCATCAAGGCCACCATATTATAATAAAAATAGTTAAAATTAATAAGAAAACGTATACAAGTGTTGTCTCTATCTCATACACCCATAACATGGTTAATATACATATTGGATTTTTATTTATGATTAATATTAGAAAAAATTAACTTAAAATTGAATTTGTAAAGGTAAACTTAAACTATACTTGAGTAAAGAGTTTTATCTCATGTTTTAATTAAATAATGAGTATAGTAGGTAGTAATAAGTATTTAATTTACTCATTTTTTCATCAATTTCATAAAATTTGTTTTAAAACAAGAAAAAACTTTGCTTAAACACAATCTATATTCTTTCCTCATAAATTCTATGATATGTAAATTTTTTCTAACGTTTGAACTGTAGTAAGAATCTAATAAGTAAATTAAGTACATTACGCTTGTGTTAATTAGAGATATGTAGATAACATATTCCAGTTAATGTCCTTTTAAAAAATACTCACATGAGTTAGAACCAATCTGAACCTTACATGCAATGTTAGTTTAGAAGACAACTCAGCAGTGACTAGTTTTAGTCAGGCAGATGTCTAGCAACACTGATTTACACTACCATCTAGTAAATCAAGTCGGCCAAGTTTTCCTTTTCAAACTTGAATAGAGTATATTTAAAAACTAAGTTTTTCTCACAAAAAAAAAATAACATAGACTTTTGAATGCAGTTTTTTTAATTTCAGAATAGATTTAATTGATTTTATGTCAATATCATAAAAATATAAAATTGTCTTAAAATCCATAATTTTTGTTGTTGGTAGTTAAGTAAGTTTTACTATATATATATTTTTTTTTTTTTTTTTTGAGAAAATTGTCTTGATAGTCTGATTATTATTAGTTTATTTATTTTTTATAACCCTAATTAAGTTTTAATTTAAATATATTGGTGAGACCCCTCTTAAAAATTCCTTAATGTGCCTTAGTTATACTTATATAAGTTATTTTGAATTAGTGTTTAAAATATTATGGAATTTCCCATCAAAAAAGCATATGTGAAAATATTAAAAACTAATTATATTACAAATTTATTGTTTAAACAGGTAGAAATGGATAAAGATCCAGTCATTGAAAATGACATTTTTATGGAAAACTAACATTGATATTTCAACTATTATAATGTGATATTATGCATGTTTAAAAATTGTTATTAACTTATTATTAAAATTAATAAAAACAAACTATTTATTGGTTTAAAATTCTTCATGTTATTTTATTAATATTTGTTAAAAATTGCAAAAATTATATTATGTTATAATTTATATAACTATTTAGTGTGTACTAAAAAAAAAAAAAAATTACAACAATCCAACTGAAAAATTATGATTAGAAATTAAGGGGGGAAGTAGGTAACCATTCTGATGTTCATTAAGTGTCAAGTTGATCTTGTAGATAACCATTGTGAAATCTATGTTAAATTTGAATTAAATTATAAATTGTATATAACATATAATCCAGAGTGAAAACTGTCTGGCTTAATTATTAAGTATATTTTATGATTTATTTATTTCATGGGTACCTATATTTATGTCATTCTCAATGATATAAAAGTATTTATAAATAAATATATATATATATAATATTTATAATAAGTTGCTATTGTGTATTGTGTACACTCAAAAGTTAATTAATTAGATAATAAGTCAATCATTCATAATTTATTTCTGACTGTATTCTAGGATCAATTTTATTTTTAAAACAAGTTGATTTTTCATTTAGTATTATCATAATTTAAACTTACATGGGATATTTTTAAATCCATATCTGATGATTTTTTTTTTTGCATATTAAGTTCTTGCTCTTGTCAGCACCGACTATATATCCATTCCAACCTCTATATGCAAAGGGAGAAGATAGTCATCCATTTAAATAGTTCTTACCGACTAATGTTTTTCACTATTCTAGTTTTTAAGGTGCCACTCAGAAGAAAAACAATTAAAAATACAACTTAAGGAACTTTTTTAATTTCCTGATTTTTATATCATTCAATGCCTAAATGTCTAAAAAAATTTGACTTCCTCAAATTTTAATTTTAAAACTTTAATATATTAGTTATTGTATTTATCTACATCTGGAACACTTACTTTATTTACTGATCTTAATTTCACCATTGTATAATACTTCATTTTATAATAAGCTGGTATATTTTAGTATATAATCAAACGATAATCTTTAAATGCATTTAAAGTAGGAAATAGCTAGGTTATGAATTATAAATTATGCATTGGCATTTTAAAACACGTTAGTCAACTTGACAAGATGTTGACTTATAAGTAACAGTCTTATATTAGGTTTTAAAAATAAACTCTAATTTGAAAAAAATGACAAATTTTTTTTACCAATAAGGCAATAAATAATATTAATTTCGATATTTGACTCAATTAGATTTAAAAAAAATATTAACTTGTATAAAATAATTTTAGTATATTGTGACATAACAGATAAAATAGAGGTAAGTATACAATTGTTTCAATTATAACATATTTGATAAAAATAAAAAAATATAAGTAAAAAATAAATATATCTATTTAAATAAACATACTTTGATTAAAAAATAACTAAAATTACTAAAATATATGTCATGAATTCTTGCTCAATTAAATTTTTTAATTAAAAAAAATTACATGTTAACTATATGCCTTTTCTTAGTTTTTTTTAAATTTTATAGAACAAAATTTTCTCCATAATTTTTTTCCTACAGACCACAATATTATAGTTATAATTATTCTGATGATGATCAAAAAAAACAAACCATCAAGTAGTAGAAATTCATACCAAGTCAATTGGCCAGCAGTTGTTTTCAAATGATGAGCCCCATTGTAGCGTATTACATATTCTATCCAGTAAACAGCTTTATTTAATGATTTTAATGGTTGATCACGAAACATTTGTGATAGTTCTAATGCTTTTTGTTTAAACCTATAAATATTGATTCAGTTTTGTAGGTATTACAATAATAAAATTTTATTTAGAGTTAATATTAAATAAACTTACGATTTTTCATTCAACATTCTATATAAAGCTATTTCAAATACATCTTCTGTAAATTCACTGTATTTAATTCTAATTGCTGCACCTCTGTTCTGCATTACTAATGAGTTATGTAACTGATCACCAAACACCGATATCGCTAACATTGGCACTCCATAGTATATAGCTTCTTCAGTACTATGTATGCCTCCGTGAGTAATAAATAGTACACAATTAGGATGGCCTAAAATATCAACTTGTGGAAACCATTTTCTAATAATTATATTTGGCGGAAAGTCTATTTCAGTATCTGATTCCCATTTAAATAATACTTTTTGCTTGATTTTACCAAGTTGTCTGATAAAAATTTCAAATTCGTTTTTAGGTAATTGTGATAGATTTAGTATAGAACCAAAACTTAAATATACAACTCCATCAGGAGCATTGTTCATGATATCTTGTAGATCCTAATGAGTAGTAATAACCAATGACACAAATTAAGATACAATCATAGTTAATAGTTATTAATATGAATAAATAAATAATTTTACTTCAGAGAGTAAAGATGCAGGTTTGAGGTGCATTCCAGCTACATCTATGTATGAAGGAATAAGAGGTCTTGGTGTTCCAACAGAAAAGTGTGTGTTAATCAATGTTAGTGAAATATTTTTTAACATATTTTCCATTGACGGTCGTGTTTCCCAACTGGTATAATTAAAATATTTATTCATTAAATCCCTTTGCTTGGGAAAGTAGTAAAATGAACCCAAAGCTGTATGTATAAATGATAATACAGTATTCGTCAAACGTTCCATGAAAGACATATTGTCACATAATCCAGAGTTGACATCTGGAATATATGATCCATCATATGGATTACGATGCCACTGTGCTACACCAGCATTTGGAATAGATGGAAATAATTGTATAACAGGCGCATTGAATTTATGTCCAAGAGCTACAAAACATTCATGGTAAAAGTTTTCAAATAAAACTAAATCAAAATGAAGTCCTTCTGAATGAATCAATTTCTGAACAGATGGTTTGTTTAATATTGTTTCTGTAAATTTTGGCCAAATAATCCAAGACCTAAACGGAACTAAAATTGGTTTGAAATGTTTAGCTACACTGAATGGATTAAAACCTATAAAACAAATTTAAATTATTATCATCAGTATAACTAGATTAAATCATAGTATAAGGATTATTCTTTAAATTTTGACGAAATATTATAATTGTACAATGTCTTCTTAGTTTTTATGTTTATTGTTTACCCATTACGACATCTTCATCCTCAACTTGAATATGATGGTAAGATGATGGCGGATTTTTCATTGGAAATGGTGATAAAACAGTCATGTTATGACCTTTTTCTGCTAACTCTTTTAATAATGGTTCAAATGCTCCATAATGACTACGTGCTTTGCTTGGTAAAAAAGCTAATATATTATGCGTTAAACCACTATTCACTGATATTAAAATACCAATGATCAAAACTACACTGTTCATCTTGAACAAGTTTGATCAACTTGAAATTTAGACGATTATTAATTTATTAAACATCTATAAAGAAGAATAAAATAAAAATAATCATAGTTTAGTAAATTTAACTGTATAAGTATTTTTAATAATTTTATTATCTATAAAATTGTTTACTAGATTGTTTGTTATTAAGAACATCAATATATAATTATTTAATTATTTTACCAATTTAGTTAATAGTTAATACCTAATAACTTAATTTTATTTGTTTATTAAATCTTACATAAGTACTACTAAACTATGTATAATGTATTTATTATTAAATGAAATATTAATTGTTATTTGTTACCTAGTTGTTACCATACACACTTTGATTATGAAATAATTTAAATGCTGTTATTTGTTTGATAGGAGGTAGTAAATTAATGATTAGTGATCACTAATCAGTGAACCTATCTGTTATGTTACATAAGTTATGCAAGTATGCAACAAACATATCTTAATCGGTAATTCTGTTTTTATAATAGACATAATGAAATAACGATTTAGAAGGTCATCTGTCACCTGGTCATCTATACTCTTAATAAATATTAAGATTTTATTCTATTAGGAAACTGAGAAAGCATAATGCTAGGTGATTCATCAAGATTCTCATCTTAATTTCTTAATTATTTTTCCTGTAATAACAAATTAAAAACGTATTATTTTAAGCAAGAAAAAAATGTAAATATTTATTTTATTTTTATTTTTTTGATCATTTATTTTATACCTGAAAAAGAAAATGACCTTCCATGTGATCGAGGTCCGAGTTTACCGGAGTTATACATTTACTTTTTTCATAACTTGATGTATTTAATTTAAAATAAAAACCTTTGAAAGTAGTTTCATTGAAATAAGCTAATTCATTCTATTTTTAAAAATGTATTACCTAATTGAATTAAAATCATAATATGAAAAAATGTTTCTGGTTTTAAAACTAATTAAACCTTAATTAGGTAATCTTAAACAGTCTAAAATATATTTTGTATTTAAAAAAGACACCTTAGTTGTATATTTAAGAATTAAATACTATCATGAAAAACGGTATAACAGTACGAATTTGTTTAACCAACAAGTCACGGTATTTAACTTAAAAAATTCAATCGGAGAAAAATGTGTTTAATTTTTGTAAAAGCATTAAAATAAAAAGTATAGTGGAAATAGAAAAATAAAATGGCTAATGAATGGAATCGACTTAGTGTAAGAGTTATTAAATCAGAAATTATGAAATTTTTAACTAGTTAGTCATGTAAGGAATTTTATGGTTTTTGGAAACAAAAATACGTCAAGTATTTACAAAGAAAGAAAAAAATGAAAAAAAATATAGTTTTAAATAGCAAAATAGCAGTTCATACTTCATTTATTTATTTTAAGTTTTAATAAAAATGTATAACTTATAATATATTATATTATTATAAAATTTGTTTTTTAGAAACATGTAATGTTAAGTTAAAAATTATATTATTAGTTAATGAGCTTATGAAAAAAATAAATAACTTGGTTACATATAGTTTTTGAAATTTTAAAAGTTGGCAACTATAATACTAGAACAATTGACAATAAATTATACATATTATTAAACCTTTGTTTTCTCTACAGTAATTTTACCACAGATTAAATTTATTCCGTGATTCTGTTGTTTTCAGGAATAATGTGTTTACTACTTCTTACTCAGGTTTAATGAATATCTCCCTTCCAATTTTAATTAAATGTTGAGTGAATAAATACCTAATTCTAGTGCAGTAGTGCTGACACATTAACATGTTTTATTACTTCTATTATTTATTTATTTCTAGAATCAGAGCCAAAGGTCAGAGCAGTAGATTACGTATCGATAAAAATAAGCATTCTATTATCTCTAATTTCTATTGCATTTTGCACAGATTATATACATATGTGGTAGGTTTTATCAATTTTATTACTCTATAGTGGCACTCTACGATTAATTCTCGCGTAGATTATATATTATCAATGCTAGTATGCTAATTCGGTGTATTGAACTTAGAAACAGTTTCTGTTTCACTTTTTGATAAGAAAATCATTTCAGTTATTGACGTTTCTAGATTCATTCTTTTAAAATTTTACAAGTTTCAAAAACGTGTCGTCTTAGACTTAATAGACTTAAAACAAGTTTTTGGCAGTTTCTTCATCTCAATTTTCAAATCAATCCCTAAAAATAAGTACAACATTCAATAAATAATTGAAATAAGACAGTGGTGTACGTATATTAAAAAAAGGGTACCTAGTGGTTTAGTCACCTATCTACATTAAGTAATTGAGGACCTAAGGGTTATAAGGTTCTAAGTCAGGGGCCTGTATTTTATTAATTATTACCAAAAAAAACAAAAACATTAAATAAATATTGTAAAATATGTGATTAAGAAGATGTCATATCCTTGTGTAGTGTATGTTGACTATCTTCCAAACATATGATTGATATAACAACAATTTTTAGATGATAGTTGTTTGTTACTTGCTTCAAAAGTATTTCATTTAAATCCTTAGAGTTCCTGAACAATATTCATATATTTAAATTTATCATTAAGTTAATCAGTATTCATTCTAATAAAAAAATAATAAGTAAAATAGTTTCTTCTGAAAATACTATTTTCTTTATTATGCAATAGTGAGACTTAAGATTAAGATTAAATATAGGTATTATACCCTGTTAATAACAAAATTACACATGTTAATACATAAATAATGTGACTTATAACATTGCATTTGGGTGTACATTTTATTAATATTAAAGATAGTAGCATGACAAAAATAGTCAAAACTAATTAGAATCATTATTTTTACAATTTTCAAATTAATAGCAACAAATATTAGTTTGGATTTTGTAATTAACAATAATTGAATAATTTATCATGACAAAATATACAAGTATTTCACTTCCATTATATTACATTATATTTCTTATAAACCTAATATTTTTTTTTTTTTTTAGATAAAATGGCATTGGAGATTTTAGCTCAAGAAAAAGTGTGGCTCGATAAATCAAAGTATGCTGATGCAGAACGTATGTTCTATGAAAAACAATCAAAGGTAAGGAATATTTTTTAATATTCTGATATTATTGATATATTATAATCGTCTATAATATTTAATCATCTAAAATGTATTTATTTTTTATTCTATTTTATTAATATTGGGTTATTGCTATTACATATTACTTTTTCATTAATATTTTACTGGTGAATATATTTGGTTACAGTTATCTATATTGAGGAAACTACAAATAAAAAGCTTGATTTTATCTTTTAAAATCATTTCATTAACCTAACCTAACTTACATTTATTGAGTTTGCTGCTTTAAAATATAAATGCTAAGATTTGTAATTAGTTCTATTATTACTACTAACTTTTGGAATAAGCTGAAAAAATTATTTTTAGTAGTGCTAATTCATTTATTACAGCAGCACTAGTAAGTGCATGTTTTAAAATTGTCGATTTTGTATAAATGAGAACTCAAATACATAGTAGAGCACTAACCACCTACCGCTTGTTCACACTGCAAAGCTTATATCATACATTTTTTTTTAGGATTAATTTTATGCATTCTTATATTAATTAAAGTCACATTTCTAACACAAATTTGAGTTGGTTAATCATAATTTTCTTTTACTGTGTTCTTCATATATTTTCAGTTTTCTCTATGTTTATTAAGTTAGTATTACCCTTATGATCTTAAACTCCTTATTTCATAATTAGTTATTTTATTATCAGTAGTAATTGAAAAAAATAATGGTTTAAATACTAAAGTTTCAAATGTTGTTCAGCTTATAATTCCTGGGGATCAAATATTATATCCAGTTAAACTTAATATTATTTCAAATTAAAAAAGACAATCTGATTGAGACCAATTTTTGTCAAACTGTGGTCAAGCTACATTTATTTGTCGCATTCGTTGAAAGTTAACCATTTTTATGCCTATTATGTAGATATGTAGATTATCTGGTGTAACTTAGCCATGCTCCTGCAAACGAGTCAGCTACTGAGTTGTCATCTTAACTCTTAGAGTATTATTTGCAGTTTACTAAAAATCTGTAAACTCTTTTTTTTAACACTGACAAAATTTCTTAGAATTAGGTGTCACTTATAAATCATATAAAATATTAATTAATTAGGTGCTTAGTGCCCTCTGTTTATCCAAGTGTTCGCTGATACAGAAAAGTTTTTAAAAAATATCTCATCTGACTTTGGAAATTAAAACTAAATCTTTGAGTATAGCTATTTTTAATTTCTAGAATAACATTTTTCTAAATTATAATTAAAGATTCTAACCATATACATTTAGTATTTACATATTCATTCCAAGTGTAACTGAGTGTGTGTACAATCATGAGGCTTTAAAATGTGGGCCTTTCAAATCAAACTGATTTTATAAACCAAATTTTAATTTTCAATATAGATGCATGTGTTTAAGTGCATATTTTGTCATTTTTATTCTGTATGTTTGCATCATGTTTTGTACTGCTTAAGTAATTATAATTCTGGTTTATTGTTTTAATGTTATTTATCAGAAAAAGAAGGTATGAATGTTTTTTAGAATGGAAATCGCTAGGAATATTATAGTTTTTAATTCTTTAAAATACATGTTACTTGATATAGTAGTTACTCAAATAGATTTATAACATTTGTTGTTAAGTTTTAATATTCATTAATGTAAAAAGTTTATTTTAAAAACTAATTCTGTTGTACAAACTTAATTTTTATATTTCACAACTATCATTTTGAGTATTCAATTGTTTTCTTTAATTAGTTTTGTTTATGAGGAATGCTCATTCCTTAAAAGTACATTATTTTACTGTAACCAACGTAACAGGAATAAGTATACCTATATTTTTCACCTAGATATACAAGTACCATAATAAATTTTATAGAATTACCAAAATATTTTTTTTAAATGTATGTTATACAGAGTGTTCCAAAATGATTCATCCGATTACGAACTGATATAGTTCGGCAACGGTTAATCGCAGGTTAATGACCAATGTATTAATGGAAAGATTAGATAACTAAGTTTATTTTAAGTTATCTAGTTGTTAAATTCGGCACCGTAATCGTTAGTGACGTAACTTAATTAGTTGTTATCGAAATGTCGACCGAGCAACAAAAAGCGTTTTGTGTGCTCCGCTTTGAGAAGTTTTTTTTTTTTTTTTTTTTCTCTGGGGTTACATAAAAAGCATTGTTTATGTACCTCCCCTTCCAAAAGATTTTGACGAATTGAAAAGTCGCATTACAGGCGCCATCAACTTGGTTACAGTTGACATGCTTCAACAGGTTTATGAGGAATTTGAATATCGCTTAGATGTGTGTTGTGCAAGTAAGGGGGGTCACATTGAACATTTATAAGCATTGTACCTAAAACTTAAAATAATCCATCAAAATTTAAAATTAATTCTAACATGATTAATCAAATTTTACAATAAATATGATTTTTTTAAATCGGATGAATCATTTTGGAACACCCTGTATTATAAGATACAAAAAAAAATTATTTTCTTTTTATTTGGTAATTTTTTTTAACTTTCAAACATATTTTGTAATTTCTTTTTAAAGTTTATTAAATTGATCAATTTTGAATTTATTGAATAATAAACATATAAATTGAATATTTTAACATATTAAATTGTATGATTTAATATGGAAAAATTACCAGTATTTTTCAAAATATCCAGGAAAAACAAACAACAAATTACGAAAAAAACAAATATTTTTGTCAATAAACAAATTATTGACAGGTCAAAGTTCTTGAGAATTTGATTCAAGGTTCATCATAATCTGTTAAAAATTTATTAAAAATTCATAGACACAATTTTTTTTTCATATTCATTTGAAGTTCAATTTTTTTTTTAAATCAAGAATTATAAACGAGTATTTTGTAGTAAAAAATTAATAAAATCTTTGGTTTTTCATAACTGAAGGAAGCTAAGGTTTGAAAATGTAATATAATATTCCTCATAAGTATTTCCTACTGAAACTAAAAAAAATCTAAAAATTCACATATTTTTTCAAACATAATTATTTTTAATAAACATTTGGAAAAAATTCAAATTTTAACAAAAATACATATTTTATAGAGATTTAATGAATAACAATATTAATTTTTTTTTATAAATCAGAAACCTATTTATGGGCACTTATAACTTTTACTTATATTGTATTATTATAAATTTTATTATAAGTAATGATATTTTTCATTTATTTTAAGATGTTGGACCTATTTTTACTGTTTAATGGTACTTAAAACAAATGTTATTAGATTTTGAGTTATTTTAAGTTGATATAATATGGTGTGTATACATATTATTATAATTATTAAATACTTATTATATAATTAATGTAATATTTTTGAAAAAAATACATCAACTTTCATAACATTTAAAATAAATTACTTTAATAGCTATATCAAAAAACATATCATGAAATAAACTTAGTGATATAGGCTGATTGACTGTTAATTGTTTATTTGTGTACACTGTTCAGTTATAATATATTATTGAATTCAAATTTAACATGCTAATAACAGTGTCTCTTTTGACAACTAATGTACAGCAAAATAATTCCAACTTATTTGACTTTATTAATTTTTATTTAATATAATCATGCGGTTTTACCATTATTATATTAATATATATTTCTAGCTTATGGTGAGTGATTACAAACAAGTATCATTAATAATTACTTCTACTACTTTTATCATTAATTGAAAACTAATCACTAACATTATTATAATCTTGATAAAAAAAATTGTTAGGTTGTATCGAGTTTGTCTAAGTTTAAATAGTTAAAACAAATAAAGTTTTAATTAACATTATACAAAATAAAGTTATTCTGTTACTATTATTTTTGAGATTGTAAATATTTGTAGATTAATTCTAATACATGCTAAATTTAAAATAATTTTCATGACGCTTAAGTAAAAGATATCTATTTTATTTTATTATTTTACATTTTTTATAAATATATATGTATATATACATTTTCAGTTATAAGAATAGGAATAGTAGATCATATTTATAATTAAAACATAAATATATGTAGAAAGATATAAGTATCTAGTACTTTATAATAGCTTATGTTAATTTAATTATTTTATATGTAGTAGAATATTGGTTTTATTTTAATAGAATACCGGTTGTGAGGCCCCTGGCAAGAAAGTGCTGTTAGCTGAGATTGAAAAGGCTCGTCAAATTTTGCACGAGAAAGTTCTAAATGTAAGACAAACTCGTAAAACATATATAAATTATTCATACATATTGCTAAACTAACATTTTAGAATAATATTATATTATTGTATATAAGATTTAAGTGTAGAATTTGAGAGAGATTTTGTTTCTGAATATTTTTGAATATCACAAAAATGTTTAATAATATAATATTTAATCCATAAAAATATACCTAGTACAAAATATAAGTTTTATTTAGAGTTTAAATGCCATGCTTACATAATGACATGTAATTACTTAATATAAAATATAATGTCAATAAAGTGAGATGTGCAATTAACTTGACTTTTAGTAATTTCTAAGAAGCATACATTTAATTATATTCTTATTAAAATGGTTTTAGTTACTAGTTATATATATATTTATATCTGTGGAAGTAATGTGCAAGCAGTCCCCGTGGCGCCGTCAGTTCCAAACTGAAAAAAATAAATATATATATACCAGCAGAAACTCAATTAACTATTAGTAATAAAATTGGAGCCTTGATAGATATTCAAAAAAATGGTTAACAGAAATTTTTCATTAAACAATTTAAATATATATAATATTTATTTTATAACGAGTATTTTTACATAAATAATAGTAAAAAAATAATACAATGTATATATGCACAGGCTAATCATCAATACTGATTACATTTAATTAAAAGTGTGTTTGTTCATGTCACATTTATTGTGTACTATGTTAGATATTCCAAATTATTTTTATACCTTTGATAGTCATGTCAATACCAATTAATGTAAGCATGTAACAAGTTTACCATGATTGGCGTTTTTTTGACAATGATGGATAATAGTGAATGACAGTTAATCGAGTCTTTACTGTAATGTTTTTTTTTTTTTTGCTGATTAAAAATAATGTTTTATATTTTTTTATGGATTTAATTGCTTAAAATATTGAAAACATTTTTGTCAAAAGTATATTCAGATAAATATCATTGAATAAAATCTCTCACTTTTTTTTATAGCTTTTCAATTAAACTGTTAAAAAAATAATGATTCTAGATTTTTATATAAATTATTTTTTATACTTTTAGATTGGTGAATATGAGTCATCTGTCATTTGTTCAAGGGATACAGAAAGTTCCAATACAATAAATGGTAATTAATTACAATTTTATTTTTAGGTATAATATATGTTTAATTAAAATTGATAATTTTGAACTATATTATAGCAATTGCTGAATTAAAAAATGCTTTTCAAAAGTTGGAGGTCCGCGTTAGTGTATTGGAAGGAAAATCTCCAAGTGTAAGTATTTTCTAAATTAAAGATAATTACAACTAACTAAATTTTATTTCAATTAATATATGAAATAGTTTCAAATTAATTTTCAGTGTCAATTTATTAAAATATAATTCCTTAATTCTATAAAACAAGCTTTTGATGAGATTAAAATAAACAATTTTTGATATTGCTTAGTAATATTGTTTTAGATCTAACTAAGTGGATGTTACATTTACTTGATTTGTTTCTATCTTATAAATATACAACATAACAATTTTGCATTTAGTAGAAACAATCATGTATTGTTATCTTTAATATTAGAGTAAATTGACTTTATATTATTGTTTATGATAACACATTATCTATGCTTAAGTATTGTTTTTTTAATATTTTAAGTTTTTAGCTAGAAATAAGCTTTTTTATCTAGTCAGGATTAAAAATATAATTGAATGTAATTAAATTTAAAAGAACCAATGAAGTATCTATATTTTAATATTACTCAAAAAGTACAACATATTTTAAAAAAATTATACTATTTTTTTTTAATTTTCTAGTTTTTTTTGAGTCCTACTGGATTGTCTGGATTATAATCATGATAAATATTGTCTTTTATAATTTAAAATGTTCATTCCTCTGGCATAATTTGGAAATTATTTAAAAAAAAAAAAAAACCCTAAATAAAAAATAAATATATGCCTATCATAAACAATACTATTAAAAAAATAATAATATTGTTAACTAATCGTTAGATTTTAAAACCATGTATATCAATCAATATATAGAGCTATAGAGGTATTTAAAATAACCATGTTACTATAATATTTTTTAGAATAGGTTAAATAATTCTATATAAAAATGAAAGGACTCTATGTAAACTATATTTGACATAGGCTTAAATGAAAATCCTATGTCAAGTATTGTTGACACATGGTTGTGAATATGTTAATATTATTGTTTTCTATTCATATTTATATATAATCATGTACAATTTATGTTTCAGAGTTCTTCAAATAATTCAAGTTCATTGAATCAAGGTACTTAAATAATATTATTTAGTTCTATGAGATGTATATTAAAAATATAAATTAATTTTTAACTTAGATATTGAACAATTACAAAGTCTTATGGCACAATTAGAAGCTCGTGTTACATCATTAGAAACTAAAAAAACAGCTCAGCCTTCTTCTAAACCGGAAGAAAAGAAAACATCAAAAGTAAATGATGATGAAGATGATGATGTGGATTTGTTTGGATCAGATTCTGAAGTAAATATCATACATTAAATAATTAAAATTATTTTAAATGTTGTTGTTATTTAGTTTATTTAGATAGATTCTCATTTAAGCAAAAAATATAAAATACTTAATATATTAACAATAAAATTTTTATATGTTCAATAAAAAGTTATATAAAACGATAAAAGTATACATTTTCAAGAATTCATTAATACAAATTTATTTACAATGCATTTGAAAATCACTAACCAGTGTATGTATATGGTACTTGTAAAAACAAATTCGGTCACTTTGTTTATAATATTTTTATTTTAAAAGTTAAAATCAGTATCTAAGTCTTTTACAAGTCTTTATTTTGAGAATAAGTTATTCCAGAAAAGTCCTCTAAAGCGATTTAATAGAATATAGTTGATTTGATATTTAGTTATAAGTTGACTATCAGTCGTGTTAATACTAAAAATCAGAGAGTATGTAGTTATAAATTATTTATTTATATTCAAAATTATGCTTAATTTTTATAAAGTTGATTTTTAAGATCTAAATTTATGATTGTACTGTAGTTCTATTTTGTGTGATAAATATAGTATAATTATTTTATTAATATCATTTTTAGGAAGAATCTGAAGAGGCAGCCAAAATTAAAGCCCAGAGGGTAGCTGAGTATTCAGCTCGAAAATCTAAAAGTATATATATAAATTCCAATTATTTTATTGAACCCTTTTTTAAAAAATCTTTAAAAAAAAATTTTCTCACATAATTTCAAATAAAAATAAATCAATATTTTTATTGTTATAATTTTTTAAGTTTTTTTGCTTTTTTTTTTAAAGCAAAATATATTTTTAATGTTACATTTTAAAGCAGAATATTTTTTAAAGTATTTAATATACATACAAATTAGAATTTACTAATTTACTATTTTACTTATAGGTCATGAACTGTTTGTCTTAATTTAAATTTGTATATGCTGAAATAATTTGAAAAGTATTTTGCTTCAGAATATAAAATTATAAATTTGTGTTGTCATTCAAGAAAATATAAACTTAAAAATTTATAACGATAATATATATATATATATATATCTTTTTAAAAATGTTGTTTTATCTCTTTGAGAACTAAGTAAAAAAAATTTTCAAGGACGTTGATAGATTTTTAATTAATAAGAGTTCAATAAATAAATCACCCAGTATATTATTAATTAATACTACTTTTCTATAGTATTTTTATATATATATTTTTTTTTTAATGTTTAGAACCAACTCTTATTGCAAAGTCAAACATCATATTGGATGTTAAGCCATGGGATGATGAAACTGATATGAAGGAATTAGAAAAAGCAGTGCGCCAAGTTGCTACTGATGGTTTACTATGGGGAGCATGTAAGCTAATTTTATGTTTACTCTATTTCTCCTATACATTTTTATCAATTACAATTTCTAAGAATTCTCTTATCTCCAGAAATTATTTATTCTTATATTTAGATCACTATAATCAATCTTATAAATGATGAATTTTTAAAAGAATTAAAAAGTATTTTGTAATTTCAAATGTAAAAATTTTAATCTTAAATCAAACTATGATAAATAATTTTTTTTTTTACTACCAGTAAAAAAATGTACATATAATTAAGTTTAATTTTCAATTTATTTGAAGAGATGTACTACTACTTTGATAATTAAAACATCAAATAATTTTTAAAACCAATAAAAATACTTAAACACTTTTATGAGTATTTTGTATTTAAATGTATCAATACAAAATATGTATTAGTATACTATCTTTATGTATATAAGTTGTATAATTGGGTAATCATTATGATTATTTTATTACTTGCCTTTAGTTTCAAACAAATTATAGTGTTAACTATAAATTATTAAATTAAATTTTAAATTATGAAAGTCTAAGGAAAAGCTTTAGTCTAACTTGGCTTACATTGTGATAGGTAATAAATTATTGAAATATTTCATTTGAAAATAGTTATCATGTTTAGAAAAACATATAGTTATAGATTAAAGTTTAGTTTAAACTAAAAAATATGTTTCTTAATTTTCTCTTTAATTAAAGAAAATAAATTTCCGATTTAAAAAAGTTTAATATAAAAGTTTGATTGTTCCTACAAAAACACTGTTGATAGCAACATATTAGTAAATAATTTTAATTTAATTTAATTACTAATTAATTTTACTAGAATATTCTACCTAAGGAAATACAAATCTCATGTATTAGAGTTTATGAATTTGTTAGTAAATATTAACTTACTTTCTTATGTTATGTAAATGTATGTATAAATACAATAAAAATGCTTAAAATAATGTAACTACTATCTAGTTCATTTAAATATTATTGTATAATGTAATCTAAAATTTTAAAAGAGCGTTTCACATAATTAAGTTAATTATTTCAGCTAAGCTGGTTCCATTAGCTTATGGAATACATAAACTTCAAATTAGTTGTGTTGTTGAAGATGAAAAAGTATCAATTGATTGGTTACAAGAAACATTACAAGAAATTGAAGATTTCGTATGTATTTTATTTTTATTCATTATTAGTGATGTTATAAACCATTTGATTTTGAATCAAAATTAACTTAGGTATTTGGTTTGCTAATTAAATTTATGAAGTTATAATTTGGGCTTAGTTTGGTTTAGAATAATAATTAATTATTTATTTTACTATTATTTTTATCTTATTGACATATTGAGTGCTTCTTAGTTTTTGCTTTATATGTCTGTAACTGTGACTAATTATAGATTTCAGACTCTCATTAATAAGATTATTTAATAATCAAACTTATTTATTATTATGTAAAAAATGGAAGCACTATTTTGACAACTAAGTGAATTATATTAAGCTATAACGATGTCTATAAAATGTGTTGTGTTAATAGTTGGTTATGAGAACAATGTATAGTTGTTCAATACCTGTTAATCAAGGCACTCAGTGTCTTAAAATTAATCATTAGTTATTTGAAACATTTTAATTAAACTTTAAAATCAAACTTAGATAGAAGTATTGATTTTTAAACTCTATTCTGTTTTATTATAATATTGTAATAGCTTAGCTTGGTTTTGATTTAAAGTAAACATTTAAAATTTGAATTAGTTAAAATTAAAAAAAAATATTAGGATTAGATTTTGTTTGATTTTAAACATTAGGGCTTTTAACATCACTATGTAGTTTAGTTATTACAATATCATTACATTTAATTTTTACTTCAATTTTTTTTTTTTTTTTTTTAGATTCAAAGTGTTGACATAGCAGCTTTCAACAAAATTTAAGATCAACAATTAAAATGATTTACTCAAAACTTAAAATAAAGTAATAAAAAAATGTGAAATTTAAAAAACCATTACTTTTTTATTTTTTTTTAAATCATTTGATTTTAATATGAAATCTGATTCTGGTATTATTTATGTATAATGTTGTTAAGGTAATATTTTGTTACTTTAATAAACATGAAAAAATTTATCTACAAAATTATATTAGAAACGTAACTTCAATTTCTTTTCTATAAGAAACAACAATTTTGTGACAGTTAAGTAATAAACAAAAAAATAAATAAATAAATAAAGTACTGTACAAATATTTGCCTACAATCATTAATTGCTTGGTTGTATTGACATAATTTATAAATAGATGAAAAAAAAAAATCAAAGTATTTTAAATAAAGTTAATAAAGTAGGTACAATCAGGGTTATATTACCGCTTAGGCTGTTTAGGCTAAAGCCTAAGGCAGCAAATTTTAATGACCAAAATGAAATAGCAAATTTTTTATGGTGTGATTTAATAACTACGTTGAGATATTATTTTTAAATATAAAATATAAAAACATGTAATTTGAACACAGTTCGATGTGATTGTGAAATAAAGTATTTCTAAATAAACCGTAACCGAAATTAAGTTTATAATATCTATTATTATTTATTAGATTATTAATATTATTTTATCATATTAATAGTAATCGTGAAAGAAAGAAGCATTTAACTTGTATTGGCCAAATCTGATTTTAACTTAGTTTATTTTTTTAGATAATAAAACAAGTGTTATAATATTATTGTCATTAATTTCATAATAGTTATTATAGTAGATAATGTACAATGTGGGGAAATTTCAGCAATAAGCGATGACGTCTCAAATATTATACTTAAATTATAAGATATTTGTACTAGGCTTATTATTTTGTTATACACCACGCTGTAACAAAATCGATTGGTTGTTTATTTACATTCGTTATAAAGCAGTTATTTCCATTTGCTTTTATTGTAAACATTGAAAGTTTATCACATGATGATATTGTTAAAGGAGCTACACAACAATGAAATATACTATGGTGATATAAATTTAAATTAATTAATTAATGAATGTCTACACTTAAAGGCACACATAATACAACTAGCTGACAATAAACAAAAAAAATGTTCCCAAACTTCTTCAAATTTTACATGAAAAAAACTTAATGTCACTAGATCAATTAAATGCACTTGCTATACTAAGTATTGAACATGAATTAACTAATCAGTTATCATAAGACGACATTATTGAAGACTGCGAAAAAAAATCAAGACGTAAGAGTAAAATCTGAAAAATATTTATTTTTTTGTATTTTTTTTTAAGGAGCTTTTATTTATTAATAATATTAAACATAAAGTATTAACTTTATGTTTTTATTTTATTAATGATAATTTTTTTAATATGAGGTGTGAAGGGTTTTTTACATATCACTTATAGAAGTAAAATATAAATACCTATGTAAATTAAGTGGTAAATTTATTTCAGCCTATGAGCGGTAAAAACCTTAATCCGGCCCTGGGTACAATGCAACTAAATACGTATATTATACTGCTCAAAAAATTAAAAATTAAATATTGTGATAAGTTAACATAATTAATATATACTAATGACCATTCTAAGTATTTTTGCATAGTATTATTTTTTCTGATAAAATAATAATTTTTATTTTTGATTCTTTGTACTTCAAATGTTATTATAGTAATTTGTTATATGTTAAGAATTATTCAGGTACTTATTTAAAATAATTTCCAATACATTTTCATTACTTGCAAAGAATTTTTATGAAATATGTAACACTTATTACTTTTATTACCTTACTACTCAACATCACTTAATTAGTAATTATACTCTATGACAGTATGTAAGAGGTATAATTAGCGCTCACACCAGACTTCAGCATGCATTCATTATCATATGTTATCACATCATATACCTATAATAACTAAAATATTTTATTGGAGTTATGTATCATGTACAGTAATAAATAATTAGAGAAATACAAACCTAAATGAGTGATAACTACATTAGGTACTAAAATTATAAAATTTAGTTAAGATCTTAAGTGGTCTGCAACGCCTAAATTAGGAAGTCTAGATTTATTTTTTTTAAAAATGGAATGTTTTAAGTTTTACTTGTAATTTTCATTTATATTAATTGAGGAGTGAGATGAAGGTGTACCTAGTCCCTCAAAATTCAAAAGTTTTAGTCTGACCATGTAAGTTAATTTTTATTTATTAATTAGGTTCCCGGTTTCTTCATGCCTAGGTACCTGAAAAGACATTGTAATGTTGAATAAGAGAACCTATCCTAACAATTAACGTATTACAAAGTTATATTTGTGATATTTCTTAAACAAATTCTTTATGCACATTAAGTAGGTAAATAAAATTACATTTAACCTCGATGTTACATTTTATTTTCCTCCCATTAGTCAAACTTTATATATATACTATTCAATTAAGTTAAACGCAGTAATTGATACTTGAAAATTGAAATAAATAATGAGGCAACTTTCTTATAATACTTATCAGTTATCATGTACAGTGAAACCTCTAAATATCAGACAGTCGTAAAAATGTCAGCTATTTAGTTAGGGTGGGCAGGTAAATGGAAAAATAAACAATACTAATAAAATTATACACACTATTTGTATAAATTAATTTACTCATAATATGTACTATTATTTATAACAAAATCAATCAAGTGAGACGACTATTTCCTACAACTTACAAGTTACTACTGATAAGGTAACTATTATAATATAATAATGTGTTAAAATGAAAAATACATGTTAGAATAAAATATACTTGGAAAATAATTATCAAAAATGTAGTCATAAAAATTAATTGTCCCATATTCAGAAGTTTACGTATAGATAATAAGTGCAAATGTTCCCGTTCCCGAAAAAATGTCCTCTATTTAGAAGTTTCCGAAATGGAGGGTTTACTGTATTATTATTTGAGTTAAATAATATAATTATTTATCATGTTATTAGTCATTTAATAAAATTTTTAAAATTGACAAATGATAAAAAAAATTTTATTTTAAAATAATTTTAGAATAAGGTACTTAGTACAAAGGTACTGGACGGATTATCTAAAATACGGGACAACATAGTTATTTTTAATTTATTGTCGGAATATCGAGATGCTTCATTTAAATACGAGGATACTTATGGAATTTCCATCTTAATTTTCGTAGCACCATTTACCATTTACGTCGTTAGTCTAATCATTTAGAGTTATTAAAATGACTATGAAATATAGGTGGATATTTGATTGAATTTTCGGGGTGCTTTAAATCTTTCTTTACATTGTAGCAAAATAGGTACCTACCTATTTTGTTCAATAAATTTTCAGGGGGCTTTCGATTTGTTTTATGAGGGGTATGGTCACCCCAAGCACCTCCCAATCACCGCCTATGCTATGAAATGCTATTTTATTTTTATTAATAATATTTTTTATTATATTATGATACAGATAGAAAAATGAACAATCAACTCAACAATGAATCGTTGAACATTGAATGCCAAACGACCTGCAGTTTGTATTGTCGAGTATAACTTAAGGTACTTAGTACTTACATATAATAGATGATATTTTAATAATTCTATCTATTTTGTCGTTTCATCATTGTCATTTGTCATTTTAAAATTTAGAATTTAGATTCAATAATGTTTTTTGGTTTATGGTATTTGTGGTATTGCTTGGTTCAATAGTGGTTAAAGTGTTTAGTGATCTGGAAATTCAGATATTATTATTTATTAGTGATATTTATTGTCATTTGTCAACAAGTCGGACATTTTTCTGTGCTCAAAGTTCGTTGGAGTATTTTATTTTTAATTTTTATCAGCTAGACTTACTACTTGGTAGCATTCACATTTCACACTGTCGGACTGTCAGCTGTTGTCTTAGGCGTATTTGCCGTATTTCATTCGGTTGCCAACCATTAGTGCAATAGACATTAACACTAAAACTAAAGATTATTTAAACTAAACAAGAAGTATTGGACAATGTTAATTTTTATTTTTTTCTCGAAAATTATGTTCAGATTGATTTCATCTGTAAGTATTACATTTGTAATAGTAATCATAACAAAATAAGTAAAATTTCATAAATTATATTTTTTGATGGTGTATATAGGGGAAATAATTTTCAATTTTAAATTAGGTAAATACATTTTGGTTATATCACTGTCATAAAGATATGTATTAAAATGTTAATATTTAGGTGTCTACAATTAATACCACTAATTTATTAGTGTGCATCACGATTAAAGATATATATCTTTAATCGTGGTGTGCATCTAACTTTTATTTATAGCTGTATAGTATATTATATTGTATAGATTGGTGTTTATATATATTAATTTACTTTTGGCATAAATTTAGTTTAGTGCCCACACGAATTTTTCAATTTTTTTTCGGAAACCTATGAATTTTAATGGGTTCAAAAGGATGGTGCAAATCATTAGTTTTTGAGTTAGTCTTGTGAAAAATCACGATTTTTGGTGTTTTTGTGCATGCGTAAAACACTATTTAACCACGCGTATAATAAATATTTCAATTTTTTTTTTTTTGTAATCTAGGTAAATTAACGTATAATTAACTAATAATTTGTATTTTTTCATAGTGTAATACCTTTAACTTATAGTGGTTTTACATAATAAATCGAAAGATGTTTTCGATTTAAATTTTCTGAGTGGGCGCAACGAGCGAGTTTCCACATCTAATGTATAATGTGCTTTCAATCATTTTATTTTTAACTCTAAGACCCATTCATGTTGGTTTTATATAGTAAGTCAAGTGATGTTTTCGATTTTAATTGTTTGAGCGAGTGACCACGTCAAGTGTATATAAAAATACCATTAATTTCAATGTGCTATAATGATTTAGTCAAATTCTGTCTTCCTCTTGTTTTCAGCATACTTAACAACATAGGTATGTTAGAACAAATAACAATTGCAAAATAAAAAGCGTGAAGTAAAACAGAAAAGTTTTCAATAGTATGGTAATATAGAGCACTAAACACAAAAAATTTGGATTTTTGTAGGGCTTTAATTCAAAAACTAATACTACAATTAATTTTTGTACCATTGTTCTAAACCAGTTGAAATACATAGGTTTTGTGAAAAAAAGAATTGAAAAATTCATATGGATGCTAAGCTTAATTTGTTTCATTAGGTTTTAGACTATTATAACAAAATTTTAATTTTGCTCAGCTGTTTTAATGTTTGTAAATTATAGACATCTAATATTTTGTGTTATTTTAATGAAATTGTAAATGGCTTATTTTTGCCAATTATAATTATTATTGTTAAAGATAATGGTAATATTATTATCTACATTCGCACAGAACTCATGATACAAATTTAATTAATTAAAGCTAATTTTTATTCTAAACATCTTAAAAAACACAGTGTTGATGTGCATTTTTAAAACAATAAGATATAATACAAATGTTGACTAACTTAGACCTAGTATATAATTTTGTTTAACAATCTACTTTAAAATATATCCCTTTCATGACCTACCTACACATTTACATAAGTTAGTATTTGATTACTTAGAACAAATATTAGATCACATAATGATCAGTTTTAAAAGAAAATTATACAGATGTGCAGGTTTTTTGTTATTTTTTAATCCTTTCTAGAAATTCATTAGTCCAAACTGGTATATATTTTTTGATAAAAAAATTAATTTTAGTTATGAATGTTTATTAATATTAAATTCATTCATTAAAAATAACTTAGTATTTCTTACTTGTATATATAAAGTTAATTATTATTATTATTATTATTTTAGATAAAATTATGTTAGAGATTTTAGCACAAGATAAAGCGTGATTCGATAAATCTAGTTATGTTAATGCACAGCGTGTATACTATGAGAAACAAACAAAGGTAAATTGTAATTTTTTTAGTGTACTGATATTATGTACAATGACTTAAATATAAATTTAAATTTTAGTGTTAATATTAATATTTATATCAATTGCTTAAAATGAAAAAATTAATTTTATTCATTTATTTGTTTTTTTGATTCAATCTTTAACTTTTTCTAAAAAGCAAAGCAAATTCCTTGTGTTTTTTTAAAATTTATATTTTATAAGTAAATCTTACAATTTTTTCAGGTTATGAAGTATAAAACTTTAAAAAACTAAAAATTCTCAAATCAAATCATTGAATATGACTAATTGTGAAGATTGTTTTATGTGTAGCATAATTGCTCAAATAGATATACATAATGATATTAGTAAATTATTGGAAAAAGTTGAACAGTGGGATAAGATAGACTCAAAAAATAATTTAAATCAGTATAAACAAATAAATAAGTTTGAGTGTCTTGTATGCTTTTTTAAAACATCTATATTTAATGATTGGAAATGTCATATTATGTCATTATCTCATATGGCAAATTGTCACAAAATTGAAGATTTGTATTCATACGTTTGTGATAAAAAAACATGTAAACTATTATTGTATGGACCTAAAAATACTTTAATTAAACATAATTTGGACAAACATTCATTTAATGATAGTGTTTTTAACATGTCAATTCTTATGGCTCAAGTAATGAAACAATATCTTGCGTTCAATCTAGAACCTTTATATTTTTGTTCTCATTGTAAAACATTTAAAAAAACGCCAATTCATACTGATATTAAATTATCGAGTAAAGCAATAAGATTTCCCATTGAATATTATTGCAGGTTTTGTAGGATTCATTTTTTATCTAGCCATGAAATGATTGATTATCATTTTTTAAGTGTAGAACATATGACAATCAAGTGCTTTGAAGAATTATGCTCAGAAACTAAGATACACTTAAAACAAAATACATCAGAAGAATCAAAAGTTTTAAAGAATAGTCATAAAAAAAAAAAAAAAAAAAATGCAGCAATAAAAAATGTTAATATATCTAACATACAAACCACAAAACTAAATACATTACAGATTGATCCAGTATCTCAAATATACGATGATATCAAAAGTGATGAATACACACAAAATGTACAATTAAATAAAAGTAAGTTTTATACATAGTTGATATTTTTTATTACTCAAGGTCTTGAGTAATATTAACATTTTTGAAAATACATATTTTATATGATTTGAATTCATTTTAAAATTACATTTTGAAAAAATTATTTTAATTTTACAGCTTTTTTCTTAAACTTTTATTTTTTTTGCTACTTAGAAGCAAACTATTTTTCTGAAACTTGATGTGTAGAAAGGTAATTTTGAACGAGTAATTAATTAGTTAAAGTAGTTAGATATTTAAAATTAAGATAAAGTTTTAAAAAAAGGTTAATACTTTTTGAGATAACAAGTATTTACTATTGAAAGAATCACACAGTAGATACTTTTAACTTATTAATTTGAATAATTCAGATAATCAAAAATGTTTTAATTTAGTTTAAACCAACTAATCAATTTTATTTAAACAATGCATAAGAATCAAAGGAGATGTAGATAAACAAACACAGTTAAATTCGATCTAACGTTTTTAAATTTATTTTTGAATTAATTGTATTTATTTAATGATAAATATTAGTTATTACAGAATATGTTATTCATTTAATGTGTTTGTTAAAATATTTGATACTAAAAATGTTTTGTTTATGTAAATGTGTTTTACGTCAGTATTATTTTATTTACCATTGATTTTTAAATTTTAGTATATTTCTAATGAAAATTATTTACGAACAGTATTATAATTCATAATTTAAAAATTGTTGTTAAATGTAAGTTAGAGAATATAGATTTATAATGTTTGATTTTAGGTCTAACAGATCCTGGTATTGATAAAACGGCAAGCTTGGATAATGTACAAACAGTTAAGGTATTAATTTAATTTTATAAATTGTGTATAGTGTATGTTGATATTTTTTAAAAAGAAATTATTACCATATTCTTATTTTAGTATTTTACTATCAACACTTAAATTTATTTTTTATGTAGACTGCATAGGTAATTCAGTGTATTAAAATTTCAATTTTAATTATTTCTTTGTGATTAAATTATTTTGTTACATTATTGCATTTTATTACCTATGTATAGATGTATTTGTATTGGTTTCAAGTATTAATGTAGGTAGTTTGTTCATTTTTAGCAAATATGTCTATTTTGAGTACCTTTATTTAATACCCTGCTACAATGAAACTAGTCTTGGTGACATTACATTGCATGAGGATGTGTGTAATCAATTTTTGTTGTTTTGAAATGTATTCTCTTGCTGAACAGTGTTATAATAGTTCTCATTTTTTTGGTGCTAAGCGTGGAAATTAATTAACTGATTAATAAATAAATTCATTATATTTATATAATTTTCAGAAGTCTCTTGTAAACAATGATTTCCTTGAAAAATTGAATGATGATGTACAAAAGAGCTGTAACAAGTCTTATGAAAACATACATTTATCAAATCACAGTAAAATCCGACAACAATACACAAATTATTTTGAACATAAAATTAATTTATTGAAAAAATTAAAACAACACGAAGATCTTATCATGAGAACTTTGTCATACTATTGTGATGTATGTGATTTTATAGCTGTAGAAAAATATTTATGGGATAAACACAACCAATTAAAACATTCTATAGATAGCAATAGATCTATAACTTACTGTTCTACATGCTCTATGTTTGTTGGCGGAAACTACCAAGAACACAACCTTACAATTGAACACAGTATATTTTTGAACTTCTTACAAGTATTAAAACCAGTAGAAGTATTAAAGGATAACACTTCATTAATAAAATTGGTTGAAAGTGGTTCATCAGATGTAAATTCTATAAACCTAGAACAAAAAGAAAAAATTGAGTTGAACAGTTCTAATTGCTTCAAAGGTAATATTGATATTAAAAAATAACAATAATTATCATGAAGTGTTTTGTATTTGATTTATATTGATTTTCTATATTAAATAATGGCATTGTTTAAGAAAGCACCAATTTTTTTATACATTATAAAAAAAAAAAAACTAAACATAAATTATGTTGTTAAAAAAAAAAAATCAGGTGTTAAGATAAAACTCTATTTACTTAATTAGTCTTAATTCTTATGTCAAGTGTAGTTGACGTGAGTTATTTTACTATTTCTATTTGTCATTTTGGTATTGTCTTATAGTCGTTAAGTATGAATCACTCGAATTAACCTGTTAGTCATACTTACTATGGTCATAAAATAACTGCTCTTAATTAATATTTTCTATTAGAAATGTATTTTCTTTTTCAAGTACCTATTTAAGACCTAACATACATTTTTTCCTAGTTATTATAATTAATTAATAAGTTAAAGTTTTATATGCTTAATTATTCTTATTAACTAACACTCAATTTGTCACATAAGTAAAACTTGATCATTTTAAATTATCGTTTGATAATGTTTTTTAATTAGGTTTCATAAATATGATTACAATATTGATTGTTCAATACAATTTAAAATTTAAATGATATGAAATTGTTTGCATTTAGTTATTATGGTTTTTAATATCAAGATGAATAACTAGTGGCATAATATATTTCAAGGCAATTTATGGCGGGTTAAACATTTTTAAAATATCAATTTCTTTGAAGCGAGTTAACTATTATTTATATTTGTTATAGAATTTAAATATTCTAAAGATAATAATAGCAAAAACTATAATTTTTCTTTAATGAAAGAACCAAGTATAAATAAGGATGATCCAATGATTATGGAAAATGGTTTATTGTTATTTGATAAATCTGAGAGTAAATATGAACTCGAACAGGATGAAAAAAATACCTCAAATGTATTAATTTTATTTATTCACTATTAATATTATTTTGTTGTTCTATTAATTATACATCTAATTTTATTACTTCAGGCTAAAAAACTGATGACTCATAGTGAAATCACAACATCTAATAATTTGCTTAACACATTAATGACTAATCCATATCAATCAAATGTACTTGTGAATAAGATGCCTGAAAACATTAATATTGTTAATGCATTGACTGATGATTTGGTAATTAATTCTATTTATTAGTTTAATAATATTAGATTAATTTAATTATATTGTCTGTTGGATTTATTTGTAATAATTATTTTGATGTATTTATTATTATTATTTTTATTATTTTACTAAAGAAGTGTTAAAAAAAATTCTATCCCAACTATTAAACAAAAACAAACAGTTTAATTAATTATAAAGCTCGTACTATTTGTATTTTAAAGATATATGATTGACATTATTAAATTAATGAGTATTAGTATAGAAGTTGAAACTGGGAAAAAAACAATTTGTTTTTTAGATAAGTTTATGATTGAAGGAACAGGATTGTTGATTAATATAATATATTGGAGAGGGCATAGTTAAGACTTTGATTAAGCCCAAATTTTAATGATAGGTCAACTAGTAGATTATGGTCAAAATAAATTCTTGGTAAATAAATTATGAGTGAATAGAATTGCTGGGGAAAATTTTTTAAAAACTGGTGTAAGATTTTGAAGATTAAAATCGAGTTCGTGGTTACACATAATATACAATATAATGAAATTAAATCTTGATACTGATTATAAATGAATATTTTACAAATTTTTATTTTTAACAGAGTTTTGAAAACAAAAAAATTGGAAGACTTGATGAAGACCAGTTATATGGAGAATATGTAATACAAAGACTTAAAAACATCAAAGATACAACTATAAAACAGTGTATCAAGCTTGAGATAGATTATATATTTTATACCAAGATGAAACAGTAACACTATCACATGAGAATATAAAATGCTGTGCCCATTCGATGTAATAAGTTTTTTAATTTCCATTAATAACTAAAATGAATTAATTTAATTAATCATTCAACTTAAAAATATTATAATCACAACATTAAAATGTAAAGTATGCACTGTGAGTTTTTTACAATAAATTATGATTATTTAAAAAAATAATTATTTACTTATTGTTTTATTTATTACAGCTGTCAGAGAAATTATAAAATTAGTCATATTTAATAGGTACCTAATTCATAATTTGTGTACAAATGTATACAATAGGTGTTCAATATTAGTACTATGTTCTTATGTCGTATCTAGTACATAAATCTCAATAGGTAGAACCATGACAATTATTATAATTATTTATCATTCATCAGGAAATGTAATTGGCTTTACGCAGTGTAGTTATTTAGAATTTGTTAAAATTTGAGGGGGAGATAATAATTTTTAAAATATATATATAACATCAAACATACATATTTTCATTTCTTTTAGGCAATAAAAAGATAAATTATTTATGTGCGATGTGCCACTGCCAGTACAGTCCACTTAACAATGAATTACGTTTTATGAAAATGGTTTGATCTAGTTTATTTGAAAATTGGTTGTTGTCCTCCGATTTCCTTAAAGAATTATCAATGAAAAATATCTAATCAACTTATTGATGTATGATCAACTTAGATAGTGGGATAAAATTATCTTTGATAATAATTATAGCAAGAATTATTATATAATTTGATTAGGTATTAGTATCAGGCGTATATTCAGCGTGGGGGGGAGAGGCTGCTCCTCCGTAAGCTGTTTTATTTAGGAATAAATACTTAGTAAAAAAAAATCATAAGAAATTTTAAGTTATTTGTGTAGTAGGTATATATGTTATTTTTAATATCCCCCTCCCGTTATCTTGGGCTGAATCCACCACTGACTAGTATACTACGTCTGTAATTGTTATGTATTATGTATTTATGTATATTACTAATACGATCCCTGACTTAGAACGAAACATTTTTTTTTTAAATTTAACAAGCGAACTAAATCGGATTAGCAATTATTTATGTTGATGAAAATTAGTTTTCTCTCAATATTCAATAGGTAAGTTGATGTGTTTTTTTTTTTAAATGTATTTCAATTTTCATAGCAAAACCAAGTCACCCTTTATACTCTTTAATTTATATTTTATGAGTCAGTAAAGTCAGTTTACTATTAAAATTGTTTGTTGGTTTTTAATATATATATATATTTAATGGCAATAAATTGTATTAACATTGTTTTACTAAAATATAAGGATTTATTTTTTTATTTTGAGATATTAATTTAATTACATATATAGTAAAAGTTAGCAAATGTTTAACATAATACGTCGAGTTAGGAATTATTTCTATGCCATAAATTGTACTGACTAGTGAATACTACCAACACATCATAAAAACACTGCTCTAGGTTCAAAATTTAAAAAGGAATAGTAACAAAAACTTTTAAAATATAATTGTTTGTACCAGACCGAAGTTAGGTAAATGCTTAAAAAACTCAATCAGAACGTATTGACCAGGTATGCCTAATGACTATGACAACTGGTAGACACATGGACGATGTAGGTACGCGTGTTATACGTGTGCACGTATTTTAACTATTGCCATTTTATTGTCTCGAGCCGTTTAATAACGCATTTTATTTTATTTCTTATCCATGGTTCACATGCACACACAAATAATGTTAAAGGACGCAACCGGTTTTCCGAAGTGGCTGCATGTCCGAATAACGACGCCAATGAATTCCACACACTGCACGCTATAACCACCTAATCTGACCGTTGCATGTTTATGTATGCGAGTACCAATATTATACCCGTACACTTGGCACAGACTTGTAGTCGGTGGCCTTGGCCGGTAGGTATATAGGAAAGAAGATTTATAAATTTTTTTTTTTTAATCCATAATAATTAACTGCCATGGGTTGGTGAAAAAACAGTATTATACATGAATTATCTTTAAAATATACATTATTTGCCGAACGATGCAATGGGAATCAATTTTCAATGGCTGTTAATGCGGTTATTGTTATTGATTTATTATATCATACGCATGCATGTATTATGTAGGTTGGTACGTAAAGAACCTTAAAGTTTATACGGGTAGACGTTTCCGTACCAATATATTATCATCGCGAATGTCGGAAAAATAATGGGGTGCTGATCTGATGCGCACCATCCATCTACTTAAAAGGTTGTAACTATTTAACGTGTATTTTATTAGGTTCATCACACTTAGCCTACTAGAATTTAACGTTTTCTCACACATATTGATGTAGACACTAGGTAGTTTATACCATAGTCTATGGAGGCATTGGGTTTACGTTTTCATTTGTATTTTATTATTTTATATTTTTAGAATCTGATTGCTATTGAATATTAATTTATAAATAAAATGATCAATGAAAGATCAATTTATTTTTATTTTTACGACCCTAGGCCTCTATGGTCGTAAACATTAATTTAGATCAGGCGTTTTAGATAGGCAAATTGATCATACATTTCACAATTATTATTGTAAAGTTTAGATAATTTATTTTGCTTTTTTTTTGGATATAACATGAACCTTGTAAATATTATATTTTTTATATAATGTTATTATGTAACAACTAATAATCAGTAATATCAGCATAGCATTAATTCAATAACGTTTACTATGAAACACTTTGGTACTATGTACTACTATAGTAACTTTTACAATTAAACAAGAAGTTTCGAAAATATTGTAAATACCTACCTATATTTTTGTGTATAGATTAGAATTTATTTAGATTCGATTAATATATTGTAAAATTGTATTTATACGAACAATTTTAATTTATTATTGCATTATGTATTTATAACACCTAATTATATAATATTTATTTTAATAATTTAAATGTCGCTAAATACCGCACATTGCTCGTTAATTTAATTCAAATATTTACACGAAAAAAATAATCATTTTGGAATATTTTTTAAAACTCGAACGACGTTTCTATTATATTGCAATAAAGATTGTTGAGACAAAATATTCACAAGTTACCGTAATCAAAATCATAGATAGAAAATGTGGATTTCTGTAGACTTAAAAGTTGTATTTTGAATCTGATTAGTTACGATGTAGGTATTTGTAATTATAAATTAGTAGGCATACCATTTGCAGTTTGTCAATCCGTTATTTTTTACTAAATCAGGTATTACGACGTTACATAATTAAGGTATACAAATATGGAAATTTATGAATTTATTATTTTATTACTATAAAATGCCTTATTAGTTATTACTTACTGGTCTAACTGTATTTGTGATATATTGTTAATTGTTACACTTAAAACTGCTGTTAATATTTTTGTTAGATCTTCTTACGCTATTTTGCTTTAAATCTACTTCAGTATAAATTTAGTAAGTACCAAGTCCTTAATTGTATTTATATAGGTTTATCATATAATCTCCTGTGCATATTTTCAATTATTTTAATAAAATAAGTAGGTGTGTATAAGCCAAATTATATTATCTTCATAAGTCTTAAAAATCATTTACTATTATTCATTCAAACTATCTATGTTCTAAAAATGTAAAATTAATTAAATTTCATTTCAAATCAAATTTCTATACCTAAATATAATATTATGTATCATTTATCTTTTTCCATAGCTATTAAAACAATTAAATTTTAAACTATTTGTAGATATTAGTATGTACCTACCTTTAGATAGATTAGATATAATAAAATTAATTTTAATGTGTTAAAATTAAAAAAATAACTAATGGTTCTTTTGTTTAAATGATACTTATTTTGCAACCATAACATTTCGTATCCAAGGCAAACTTCAAGTGAAATTGATATCGTCATTAAAGCATCTTTTATTTTTTTGGCTGATGTAACTTATTGTGAAATCCATTATTAAATAATGTGTTTTTCGATTAGTAAAGTTTTTTAACATTTCTAGTATAACACCGAAAACCAGTTTTGATTATGGAAAAATGTGTCAATTCTTGGATAGTTCCCATGAATGAATTATACATTTATTTTATTTAGCCATTATATTATTATGTCTACGATTGTGAATCGCCCGGTTTTTCTGGTTTTAGATTGAGAATCTAAAGAGTTTTGCCAAGGATTATGTTATAAACGAGATTGTGTTAAATGTTAAAAGATGATCTTGTAATAGTTGGCAGATTTTTTTCGTCTGATATTGATTCTTTTTTTTTTATTATTTAGTCGTTGTGTATTTTGAAATATTATTATTGTGAAATATGTTGTGTATTATGAACAATAATAAGGTTAAGATCTTAACAAATACATTTGAAAAACTTCATTTGTTGTACAAAATGTTTTTTTTATTTTCAAACTTAAACTCTACATGACATACATATTACACATGGTAAACAAAAATAATATGTTCGTTTAGACATATATAGGCCGATATACACCGTACCTACATGTACCAAACGGGTACACACATAAAGAAGTGACGACAGAAACGTCAACTATGAGAGACATTTCTTTATAGCGTTCGTCGGGAAAGATAAAAATAAAGGAAAAGGAAAAAAAGGAAAAAAAAAAGTTCAATTGAGTTCGAATTTTGGATTTTTGATTCAAAGAAAATTTGAAAAAAAACCAATCATCAAAACGTTGAAATTCGAACCTAATTGTAGATTTTTTTTTACTTTTATTTTCTTATTCTTTTTCAAGACGAGGGAAGGAAGAAGTGGTGGTGGTTCGATTATTTGATGCTTGCGCAAATAAACGTCCGGCAGTTGTTGAATCTGTTGATTTTGTCGAGTATTTATTGTCTAGTACCGTTTGGCGGTGTTGATCGGGAAACCCCTCTCGTCGTATTGACCGGCATCGGCGGCGGCGTTCTTGTAGGCCAATTCGTTGGCACGGACCAACGCCTCTGGGAGTGGTGGTGGAGTAGGCAAATGAGCTCCCTTGGCGACGAAACCGTTTTCAGCGTCTGAGTAGTATTCCACTTGGTAGACAACGCCGTCTGGGCCGGTGTACAGGTAGTATCCTTGGGCTACTTGTCCCTCGGCCTCGGTGCCTGGGTTCTTCAGGTATCCGGATTCGCCAGCTGAGATTCCGTTTCCGGTCTGGTAGCTGCGAACAATTGTAAAGCGATACGGTTGCGTGTCGTCATTGATATTTTATGATAAAATCTTATTACTATATTATTAACAAAGACGATAATTCATAGTATTTAAAACGTATATATTATGAAACGTTTATGGATTACATGTCATTGTTTGTTTTTCACGGTATTCCGCAAAAGGAAAAAGTTAAGTACTGAACACCGATAGTACCATTCTACTGATTAATTGCGTGTACTATGTATGTAGGTACTCACCTGTATTGGTAAGATCCGTCGAGATTGAGTTCTTGTGTCTGGGCTATGATCGGGATGGGGGTTGTGTTGGCGGTGGTTGGGGCGTAGTAGGCACCTTGTGGTGCGCCGAAGACAGCGCAGGCCGAAGCCAAGACGACGAATGCAACCTGTAAAACAAAATATCGATATTATAGTTGATGGTTTGTATTTTATCTTGTCTCGTGCCTTTAAAGGTGGTTAGGTAGTATCGTTTTTCGAATTGCGTTCGATTTTATTATCAGGTCGTTTTTAATTAAAAATTAGTATATTTTATAGAAATTGATCGTAAATCGTGATTATAACTAAAATATCTAAAACATATATGATAAACAGTATATATTATGGCCTAAAGGACTGAAAAATACTATGATTTGACAAATATATTGCGTGTTCTCTTATAATATATTAACCCATAGAATGATGTCTAGCTATATATATATTATGCAAAATAGATCTAGGATATTTGGGACGTTGTTCGTTTTCTCATATAAAGAGTCTGCGGTCGACGCTTCAAACTGAATGTTACGTGCAATATCAAAAGCGGTGGATATACTCGTATATGAAATATAATCGTAACTATTACTCGATAATTTATTACGAGTGGACGCGCTGAAGTGTTTGTGTTACGTGTTTTGAAACTCATTTCCCCGTCGCGATCGTGCAGCTCGGCTCGGCGTAGGCATATAATAATTTTATTATTTGTACTATTATTGTTGTTTTGATCGCCACCACGGCCCATAAAAACGCATTGTCACGGCACATTATTTTTTTTAAGCTCAGCGTTTTCTTTACACGCACAATTTCTACGTCGCAACAGCACCGATGTATAGTTAGAAACATGTCGCGCATGTCTCGTATAAGTAGAAATTCGAAGTACGAACGAAAAACTTAGTCCCCGGACGAAATCACGGTCGGTCTCACACGTTCGGCGCGTATTTGTAGGTAATAGGCGAAGTGCGTGGAAGCATTTGATCACGTGGTAAACAAAAAAGAAATAAAAAACAACTGAATGACTGCAGTTTAAGATGAAAACGAAAAAAAAAGAACGATGTTTTTCGTGTTTGAACCGTGGGTCTTAAACTAGGTAGGTAATTTACGTCGTATAAAAAAATAAATATATATGATATAATAATATACTTACGGAGGTGAACATTTTGATTTTTGGGTTTTATTGGTGTTGGTGGTTTTCTTGAGTAAAGCGAACTGTTGTCGGACGGACTTGAGAGCGCACACAATTGTCTGTTGGCTGTCGCCAAACTGTTAAATACTCGAATTCCCCACCCTGGAGCGATGAGGCTGGATGAACGGTGCAGGTATCGCACTAGATCAAAAACGCACACGTAAAGTGTACGTCTGGATGATCGAGTGAGAGATGTAGAGAGAGAAAGAGAGAGAGTGACGGTGTCTGTGTGTGTATGTGTGCTGATGAGCGCGAGAGAGAAAATAGGAACAGCAACACGAATGGGAAAAGAGAAAAAAGGGGAAAGACGAAAAATAAAGATAGCCACCGCCGATATCATTCCCCTTCGAATTCATTTCGGTGGCGGGAGGATGAGCAGGAGGAGCAGAGCCGGAGGAGGTCGAGCGCGGGATGGTGTCGGATTTTACGCGCGCGTGCGATAACCCGAAGCATCGTCGAGGAGGGGCCACCCGATGACCTTAAGGATGAAATAATAATAATGGAAAAAAAAAAAATCATAACCCGAGCGTGGGCCGCGTGCTAAGTGTTGCGCAACTATATCACGACGGCGGCGGCGGCGTCGATGATGATACCTATAAACATAATATTCGTATGACGGATGGAGATGACCGGTCGACCGACGACTCTGCTCGCCGTGTAGTCGCCGTTTTCGTACATATGTACGTGTCGGCGGCGATTATTATTACCACAATCGTCATCATCTGGTGCGCTATATTCACGGCGGCGGTAATAGCTGTTGTACGGTCGTGGTATCCGGAGCTCTTCGGCTGCAACCGGCTGGTCGAAACAGTGCATACGTGTACCTACGTCTCGCCAAGCCGTACGCGGATTTTTATAACAACATATTATCTACCTGCGAACACAATAATAATAATACATTATTTATACGGGACGACGAGGAGACGTTTAATAATTGTCCGTTTTTTTTTGTTTTTTGTTTTCCCCATTAAGTGTACTTCGGGTTTAGTTTTTTGTGTGCACTATTCGCGATTTCATTGCGTTTTCTGCGACGTTATTTTATACAATACGTATACCTATATTTTATGTTTGCGTCTTTTATACATCAACGTTTGTCATTTATTTTCCATATTTTGTTTTGACTCAGTTTTTTTCTCATTTGTATTGTATCGTATTTATACGATATTGTAGTATTATACGCGAAACACTAAACGTGTAAAAATATTGGTCGCCGTATGTAGTGTAAAAGATCAGGCAGTTCGGAAACCGAGACAAGTATAAAATGTGTACAAAGTGTATAACGCATTCAATCATTTATCATTGTGTCATGTTCTTTGATTTTTTCGTAAACCATCGAAACGTACAACCATATTGGGATAACCTTAATAGTTTTTTCGTTTCTGTATATTGATTACTTTTCAAACATTGTATACTGTTCGTTTTATTTTGATTCTATTGCTTCACGTGTAACGATAGGCCGATAAGGTATAATGTGTACACTGATATTTACAATAGTTGTAGCTGATGTGAGATGTTAATATACCGTAAATGTAACCTCTAGTTGTTTATGATTTTTACATAAAATGTAATTAGCCAAATATGTAAACGTATGTACTTGGGTTTTGAATTTTAATTCGTTTGGTTTTCATACAGCATGCACTGTGGGTAAACACTATTTATACTTGTGAATTCTGATCACTGATTATAAAATAAACCGTCAAGACGTATACGTACCTATATTTAATAATCCGTACGTTTCTTTTTTATTTATTATTGCTTATTTGTAGGGCTCGGATTTTGTAGCAAATGCTTCTTTTGAAGGGAGTGTGATAGAAAGATAATTTATATATATAAATAAGTTTTGAATCGTTCTAATTTCAATGAAGCATACTTTTTTTTTTACTTTTTCCACAAAACCCTGCTTTTTGTTACTTTTCCACTTATTTGGTTCTTTTTTTCTTAATTTTTCTTTAAAATTTAACTTATTTTTATGTGTATTATATTTGGACTAAAAATACTATATTATTATTGCTAGAAATTATAAAATCGATGTAAAACCAATAATAAAAGGATGAATGATAGAATAATTATTGTCATTATGTCAATATTCTATAGTTTTATATTTTTATCTGTAATTAAGGAAAGGAAAAATAATCTGAGTTTTATCAACGTATTTTTATAGTACGTTCTAATACTTTAGTTGACTGGTAAATAATTAAATTTAATAAATGCTTTTTCTGTTGCTTTAAATGGTTATTTAAAATAATTTTTTTAATAATTTATTTTGCTACAAAATCCTAGCCTTCCTTTTTAGATAAGCTGTAAATTATCAGTTTATACAAAAAATAAGAATATTGATTAATCTTAAACACAAATATGAATATACTAAGTAGTAACTAGGTATATACTTGATTAATAAATTAATTTTACTATATGTTTTTAATGTTATATTTTTACAAGTGTAGTATATTTTAATTATAATAATTATTGTATTATTTAATAATTAAAATACATTTGTTTAATATCTCCAAGCATTGAACATTCAGATATAGATTTACAAGATGAATAGTAAATGATACAAATTATGTTGGTAAATATATGCTCGTGTATAGAAATTAATTGTCATCGTGGCTAATTTAAGGAAGATTTATTAAATACCTATTTGTATATTGTTTTAATTAAACTCGATCATAATAACGCTAGTTTCTAATTAAAATATAACTTAATATGTCTTTTTTAAATATAAAGAAAAAATGAATTAGTAAAATAGTAAAATAACTGTTAGTAAAAATAGTAAGTACCCTGTTATTAACAATACCTTTACCATTGCTTAGTAAATCAAGCTCAGATGATGTTTAAAATTCAAAGATATCTTCTGTATTCTTGCAGTGGGTCACTCAACTCCCGTTTATCGCTTTTTGCTATTCATTTAATTTATGTAATCAAGATTCAAGATATATTTTTTTTCATTTTCAGACATCGAAAGACCTTAAATTAATCTTAATCACACAAAATTCGCGCTGTATAGTTGTAACAAGTTTTCGGTAATATGTTTTGCAATTCCAATTGAATCGGTCTATCTTCGATTTAATGATTATGTAATGACATAATTTGTATTTCATATACTTGTACAGGTTTAGCGTATACCGATTCAATGCATATTGTATTATTGGCAAGTCTCTTTCTATTTGTGTGATCATGTAAATTTATCAAGTTTCTGACTAATAAATAAACATTGATAAGATAATTAGAAATTATTATTCGATATTCACATTTCATACTTTATCATAACATATGTAGGTACTGCTGGTACTAGTAATATTATACATGTAACATATTACTTGTATTTAATATGATCGTCAATAGGTACCTATATTATATTTATTATCGTATAATTATATAGAAAAACTTGATATAAATTAAAATACCTAATTAATGATAATTTAATTTTTATTGCTTTATAATGTTTTATAAAAGTTTAGTTAAATCTGATAAATAAATGAAGTTTAGATAATATACATTTATATCAATCATCTTCACTATTGATTTAATTTAAAAAATAAAACTTGAAATACAAATATATGTATGTCTCACTTCTTTAAATGTTACATTTGTAGATTATTATGCAATTTCCAAATTTCATTAAAAAAAAAAAAAAAAAAAAAATGTTGACCTAAAAACTTGTCAGAAAAATGCAGAAGAAATCGATCGAATAGCAAATCGAATACAGTATTATTATTAATGGTAAATGGCAGGTCGAACGCCGCAGGGCAGGTCATTCAGAATGATGTGAACGTCATTCCTTAATGCAGAAGCCCAATATTACGAATGTTGCAAACAGTTTGAATAGTTATTTTGAAAGGTTTTTTTTTACTTAATAAACAATTTATATTTAGTATAATATATTTGTTTGATTCGTGTCATTTATTTAAATTTAATGTATATTATTATAGTCATCTATATCACGGTTCTAGTTGATTTTTCAATTACTGAATTATTAGAATTAATGTTTACCGTAATTTTGTATTTCACTTAGTTATAAGCTTGTATCTATATTATAAATGTACCATCATTTATAATATTATGTTGACATGGCCTATTAGTATTAATACGCGTCAATAAATATTATCTACCCACTGAAATTGCTTTTCTAAATGTCAGGGTGAAAATCGGATATCTCAGGATTGTTGTTAATTTATTTCTTATGCAATAAATATTTTTATTTAACCTATTATAATTATATCAGTTGCCTAACTTGAAATATTATATTTCATAGAAAAAATATAATTTATTTAGGTGTCTTAGTAGAGGAGAATTCAAGAAACACTATAAGTTATAATTTATTATTGATACCAATAAAGCTATTCTAGATTCATTTGTAAATATGTATACTAGGTATTAATTAGAAATTAGGCACACATAAATATTAAATATGTTTTTAAAGTACATAAGTGTTTTACAACTGTTTTATTTGTTTGTTACTTAACGCGATGATCCGAGTATATTAGTCTCTCATATTCTAATTTCTAACTTAAACATTTTATTAACTAGTATTATTTTATTATCTATGGTTATACATGAATTCTAAATTTACAAACATAATTCGTGTAAATTTTAAGTACAATTAACATATCATAATTGCACTTTTAGTATAACATTAGGTAGTATAATATATAATTTTAATTTTTAATTTTTTAAAACGATTTTATTTTTATAGCTTAATTTATAATAACTGTGTTAAAATTTAAATGAATTAATCGAGAAAATGTGCTTGTGATCATAATATAAACTACTTATATGTATTTTTCATTAAATCTTCGTATAGGAAATGTTTAGTAATCTTAATAAATATGTTTACTAAATAGTCATTAATTGTTTTCTAGGTTGGAATTGTACAACTCCAGTCTCCAATAAGTCCTAGTATATAATATATATACGAGTACACTACGTATTTACTATTTAGGATGATTCACCGAGTATGCTTACCTCAATTTTCTTTTTCAACTACGTAATCATTAAAAATTAAAAATTTGATTTTTGGGATTTTTAAATATATTTAAAGTTTATAATTTGAAGATATGGTCTTAAGTT